GTGTGTGTGTGTGTGTGTGTGTGTGTGTGTGTGTGTGTGTGTGTGTGAGAGAGGAGGGAGACACCTGCAAGAATTCAAGCATTATCTACTTGAACAGACGTGCCTGTCAATATTACTTATTATAAGGCTTTTATGGAGAGTGGCAGCTCTTGGAAGCTCCTCTTCTCTAAAGCAAACAGGTCACTGTTGGTCAGTCCAGGTCTCAATCACTTTCCTGCTCTACTCTCTTGCTCTCTGCACTCCACCTGTGGTTGAGCTTTAATAAGGAGGGTTTTCTATACTGACGGCCAGTGAAAGAAGACAATAAAACTGACTTCATTACCTCTAAAGTTCCTCATGCCACTGTGGCAAATATACAAACCCAGATTTTTGAAGGTTGATTGATATAAAAATCATATCTTACATAAAATGCAGGTTTTAATTAGCAACCATAGAGCACATGAATGACTGATTTCTTCATTTTCGTGTCATGCACATAACGTGCCCAACCCTCGTGTGTATATGAACCCCGTAGTTGAGGGCTGCTGGTGAGGGATGTGTTTACACATATCTGTGACTTGGCGTGAAGGTGTGAAACACCGCTGATGCATACGTACCCGAAACCCAGCTGTCTGCACACCACCTCAGCGTCTCTGTCGTCCCACTGGTCGTCACAGACGGAGCCCCACCTTCCTGCGTGAAACACCTCCACTCGACCTTCGAAGTCTTCCTCGCCTCCGACCAATCGCAGCGGAGGTCCGCTGCCTGAGAGAGGACGTAGGAATATAAACAGGTCCAAACAGCCTTCTCCTTTAGAGAGCATCACATATTACTACACAGTATGATGTCACACTGACCTTCCGGTGGCGCACACACCACCGCTGCCTCGTTTCCGTGGCTACAGTCGCCGGTGACGAACGTCCGGCTCTGGCATTTACTGACGGTGTTCTCGTCCCCGCGGCAACCCAGGCGCTCGTAGTGGAAGAGGCCGGAGCCGGAGCCGAACTGAGACTGCTGCAGCGCCGCGCCGATGTCACTGTTAGAAACAAGAGCGAGAGCGAATGAGTCAAAAGTGGTGGAACTGATGGTGAATGAGGATGGGTTTTTTTTTGGGGGGGGGGTCTTCTTCTCGTACCTGAGGCCCAGCTGCCTACAGATCACACTGGCGTCTCTGTCGGACCAGTGGGAGTCACACACCGCCCCCCACTGGCCGTTCAGATACACCTCAACACGCCCGCTGCCAGAGGTCGAGCTGCCCACCAGACGCGCTGCGCCTGAAGAAAGAAAAAAGCCCAGAATCAACAAGCAGCGTACGATAACATATTCACCAGCAGTATCACACTTTCATAATCTATTAATTGTTAATTGTTTTTTGGGGGGAGGGGGGGGGGTCACTTTGGGGCTGCAGAACAAGCTGTAAACACAACATGACATCTATAATCAAGCTGTTATGATGCTGAGAGACTCGGTCCAGTACTCACTCTTCTTTTAGCTTTTGTTTTGATCTACATTAACTCCTGAAGAAAATCTCTGGCTCTTTAGATGCTAAATCCTTCACTATGTTCACCAGCTAGTAGTATACTGCTGTTCGTCTGCTATTTGCTGCAGAGCAGGAAGTTTACAGTGTTTTTGTAGGTTTGTCTGTTTTTGTTTCTTCGCTGAAAACCGCTGCCTGCTGCTGCTGCTGGAGACAAGGCTGATAAAAGCAGATTGTTGGCCAGATAACCTAAAAAAATGATTTTATTATGATATTTCTCTGTGGCTTTGACACTATCAACAATCCCCACAATACAGTACAGTCATTTGATCTTATATTATTGAGTAGTGCACCTTGAAGCATAAATACACTGTTGTATATCATTGTAAATTGAATGTCTTTGGGTTAAGAATGGTTGCAATGAATTAGCAGATGTCACTTGATAAATTGTGACCAGCATTATTAAAATGTTCAGACATTTTACAAACCAGTGAGACCCAACCTCTTTGGCATGTGACCCCCTTGAAGAAAGCAGCGTTCACTTGGTCAGAATTTGCATAATGTGTCTACAAGTTTTGAGCAGCGATGAACCAAAGGTTGATTTTCCTCTTTTATAGTGTTTTATAGTGTCTATTTCAGAGGACAGCAGAAGAAAAACTTAACAGTACCTCACAAGAAAAAAAGAACCAGAAAACATTTCTACATTTCTACATTTCACTGTTCTTTAATAATGCCTTTTGTTGCTTATCTGCATGTTTTATTCTAAATCGTAAAGCACTGTAACTTTGTCTTAAAGGAGTGAAATCAAAGTGTATTGCTGGTGGTCTGTGGCCGTACCCTGGTGGCAGTCGCAGTAGGCCCATCCGATGGCTCCAGAGTTCTGTCTGAAGAAACACCAGGGGTTGGACTCCCGGTCTGGGTTCCTGCAGTAGCTGTGGTCACCCAGCCCTCGGCCCGGGTACTGCATGACGTAGTCTGGAAACTCGGTCCACTTCAGACAGGGGGCGCCAGAGTCCGTCTGAGACACGGTGCCGTTGTAGTATCCCAACTCTGTGAATCCCTCAGAGCAGGACAGAGGCACTGCACAGAAGAGAAGGAGGGGGGAGAGAGTGAGTCTATGTTGAGGAAGACGGGAGAATAAGATGTTTTGGATGAAAGGAGGAGGATTTGGGTCAGAGAGGACAGTGTGAATAAAAGGCGGGGGAAAGTTTGGGAGAAGTGAGAGGCAAGAGGAGTGGAATTGCTCTTATTCAAGTCACATTATCCCCATGTCTGTATTTTATCTGAGCATAAAGGCTTACATGGATGATTCTCACATGCTGGCCCACTGCCACAGCGGGATCCTTCCTAATGCATTTACCCCTGCTGATCCACGTTGGACCGGGGGAAAGCCTTAGAGCAGCCCCTTACTCAACATGAAGGTGATCACACACTTCCAGTAATCTTCTCTGAGAAGGAGGAATGTGTGAGTGAAGCTGAGACAGACAGAGAGGGGAAACCGCTGACATCGAAGTGAAAATTAGGCCACAAAATATAGAGCAGGTTACATACTGCGGCCCAATAAAGACAAAGACCTGCCTCCAGCATTAATGAAAATGAATTATAGTGCAGGATTTAACATGCAGAGTGGTACACATGAAGGCACTCCGAGGTAGTGAGCAGATTCACAGAACCAGGATGGCAGATTGGATGGAGAACATTTGTTTACAGGACGCTTTGACTATGTAAATTATCCACACAATTTTATGGCAATTCATCCTGTAATTGTTGAGATATTTCAATAAAAGCCAAAAATACCCTCCGACAGCACTAAAGGTAACATCGGGGAATCACCAAAGTCTTGATTCATCCTCTGGGAACACTAAATCCATCCAACAGTTCTTAAGATCATTAAAAACATGATCACATGTTCTCTTTCTCCTCGTCTTTCTAATTGCTTCCATCTTTTCTTCCAGCTATTCTTTAACCCTTCCGTTATTTGTTTCTTTATTTTCTTGCATCCTGCTTTCTTTTCTTGTTTACTTTCTTTCCAAATGTTGATGTTTTTTGTATGTTTCACCTCTACTGAAGGATTTCAGTCTTTCTCTGCACACACTGAAGCTTTCAGGGTTTTTGAGGCCAAACAGCTACTAAACTATGATTAATGGCGGAGGTGCTTCAGCAACCAGCAACAGTCTTATCTCTTCAACACACACACACACACACACATAGCTTGGCCGTCCTGGAACATTATCTACACGGTGCAACGCTCATGCCCAACACACACACACACACACACACACACTCACAGATTTGCTGCATAGTGCCCGGGACAGAAGCACAAACTAAATTACAGTTAGACACACACACACCTACACACACACACACACACACACACACGGTCCAATTTGGAAGATAAGAAGAAGAGCAGAAGGAGGAAGCAGAGAGAGAGAGAGAGAGAGAGAGAGAGAGAGAGTCAAAAAAACAGGAAATCAATCAGGCAGAAATGTACTGAACTAAAACAGAAATCTATCCTCAAACAATAAATAATACAGAACACACTCAGACATTGGACCCAAAAAACAGCCCTCACTGGTATCCAAACCTCAAAAAGCCTCAAATAAAATGTGCCTGTCTCTTTAAGAAACATGACACAGGAAGAAACTGAAAGCAAAGGTTCTTCCTGGGAAAGAACCAGAATCTCCGTCGTCATTACTTCTCCCTTACAGACCAGCAGCAACAGACGTAAGTACTTTACTGAGCCACACCTTCACTATGAACGCGTAAGCAGGGAAATGTATGTTGTGTGTATGTTGTAGTTTTGTCCCACACTGTTTTCAGAGCGGTTTTGTTGGGAAATGCTGCTTTCTCATGCACAATTAAAAATGCGTTGTTGTCAGGTCGTGCATGCACACAAGCACACGTGGTGTTAATGTGGTTTGACATTATTGATGGCGGTGGTAACGCGTCAGGAAAAGTGAACAATGCGCCCACAAGGGACTGCAAACTGGTAAACATGGATGTAAACATTGCAGGTTTCATCCATGAAAAATTGGTGTTGCAAATGCTTTGAGATAGGAAACGAGTTTAGGAAACGAGTATTTTCACTTCTATAAAATATCAAAAAAGAATTTAAAATCCCCATCACAGCTTGCTAAAGCCTAATCTGACATGACTTAATGTTTTTTTTAACAATTAATCGATTATCAAAATGGTTGCTGATTCATTTTCTGTCATTTATTTATTGTTTCAGCTCCAAATGCATTTAATAAAAACACTAAACGGGAACTTGGTTTGGAGGTAAACTTCACAGGGTACAGAAAAAACTTAAATTTGGCCATATTCAATTTCATAACAACTGGTCAAACTCCATGCCTTCATGTTACAGTTTATTTGTTTTATTTGTTTTTCAGAAATGGCCTCCAGCAACAGTCTTCTGTCTGAGGACCAGCTTCTTTGTCCCATCTGCCTGGATGTGTTCACTCGGCCAGTTTCCACACCATGCGGACACAACTTCTGCATGTCCTGTATCACGTGCTACTGGAACGGCATCCCAGTCAGCCAGTGTCCGGTCTGTAAGCAGAGTTTTGAAAGGAGGCCGGACCTTAAGGTCAACACTTTCATCTCACATCTCGCATCGCAGTTCGTGTCGCTTCAAGTGACCGACGCTCACATCTGGAGCCCGGACCAACAGCAGGCTCGCTGTGGAGGAGCGGTGCTGTGTGACATCTGTACTGACGCCCAGCGAGAGGCTGTCAGATCCTGTCTGGAGTGTTTGACCTCTTACTGCGACGTCCATCTAGAGCCTCATCACAGAGCTGCGGGCCTGAAGAGACACACACTGGTTAAGCCCGTGGCGAGCCTGGAGGACAAGATCTGCAAGGAGCACCACAGACTCCTGACGTTGTTCTGCAGGAATGACGGGGTTTTGCTGTGTGAAGTCTGCGCCGGTTTACACCACGTGAACCATGACGTCGTTTCTGTGCAGCACGCGCACAGAGAGATGAAGGCTCTGCTGGGGGACACTGAGGCCAAAGTGCAGCAGATGATCCATGAAAGGCTGCAGAAGGTCCGAGACATGAAAGTGACAGTAGGACAAAACAGGACAGAAACCAAAAATGTGATAGCGAACAGCGTGCAGAACTTGACGGCGCTGATCTCTGAGATCCAGACAGAGGTTGTGAAGGTGATCGAGGAGAAGCAGAAAGCGGCAGAAGACCAAGCAGCTGGGTGTATTGGCAGTATGGAGAGAGAGATCATCGAGCTGCAGGAGACAACGATGAAGCTGAGGGAGCTGAAACAGACTAAAGACCCGCTTTCTTTCCTCCAGAACTCCCCAAACCCACCCATCCTACCCCACACAATGGACTTGAACACAATCAGGTTTAATGGACAAGTGGAGATACTCCACATACAAAGATCTTTCAGCAAAGCAGTCTCTGAGCTGCGAATGATGCTGAATAAAATGAGCACAGAAGTACAAGACGTCTCTGACGTCACAGACGTGTCTAACGATGCTACGCTGAGATGCATCCAGCAGTATGAAGTGGACGTGGTGCTCGATCCCGATACAGCTCACCCTCTGCTCTTCTTATCTGATGACAGGAAACAGGTGGGACTTAGGATGGGTTTACGTCCAATGGTAAACCTGACACCGAATATGTTTACAGAACATCTCGCAGTTCTGGGACAGAGAGGCTTCTCGTCACGTAGGTTTTACTTCGAGGTGTTCGTGGGAGGAAAGACTGAATGGAGTCTGGGCGTGGCCAAGGCGTCTGTCCAGAGGACGGGGCTTGTTCGAAGTCCTCACTTTGGACTCTGGGCCATCTGGTTCATAAAGGATAAGATCGAAACCTTCAGTTCTCCAAACGTGCCGGTACACTTTGGGAGAGTGGAGCGGGTCGGCGTGTTTGTAGATTATGACGGAGGGCAAATCTCTTTCTACGACGTACAGACCGCAACTCTCATTTACTCGTTTCCTAAGTGTGTCTTTACTGAAGAACTGCATCCGTACTTTAACCCTTGTGATAACGAATACGGGTCAAACTTTGGGCCGATGATAATTGTTCCTGTAGGCCGCACGGGGTAATTTGTGGGTTATTTACTAAAATGCAACTGATGTGTTTAATTGCAAAAAAAAAAAATTTGGTAAAGCAGCTTTTTATAATCATTAAATATGTAAAGCATTTAAGGAGATGAACCATCTTCCTTTGCTGATTTCTGTCTCTGTTGAGTTTCAGTGTGCCTTAGATCCAAACTCATCATTACCTTTATTAATTATTTTAAATACAATATCAAGCAGAGGGAAATAAACCAGAAGAGCTAACTTAATAGATGATTCAATACGTAGTGAACCAGTTGCAAGTGATGTAAAAGGAGAAACTGGTAGCGGGGAAAGCTAAATGTGCAGATCATCACTATTTGATAAAATGCAGTGGTGTTGTTTGTGTTTGGTGTTGTTGCAGGAAATACTTTGTTATGGTTATTTTAAAAGAGGAAACAATATGACTCAATTAAAACAATCAATTAAAACGATCAATATTTCTGTGATTTCACAAAGTGCTGAATTGCATTCCTCACTTCATGTTTTCAGCTGCAACATTCAGGCCCTTATGTTGGAGGCTTTAGATCTGTGAGGGTCTTGTGTTTGGAAGAAAACCACGCAGAAGCTCATAACAGGTCTTTTGATAATAACGCAGTAATAACACAGTTGTAAATACTGAGATATATGATGGCTGAGCTCCATGTAGCTGCTTACGTTTCAGAGTTCTGGTGAGTTTGTTTTTATGATAACACAAAGTGTCTCGTCAATGTAAATAAAACTGTTTTTAAAGCTGTATGATCTGTAGTGGTTATAAAAGTTTGCTTGCCAGCTTGATGAAAATGTAATAAAGTAAAAAAGCATTGCATAACTTTATTTGAAGTTATTATTTGTGTAATTTGTTTGCTTTGTAAGGCAGAAATCTATCCTCAAACAACAAATAATACAGAACACACCTATCCATTGGACCCCAAAACAACCCTCACTGTATCCAAATCTTTAAAAAAGCCTCAGACTTAACAGACACCCAACAAAGGTGCCTGTCTCTTTAAGAAACTGAAAGCAAGATTATTTCCTGTTAAACAACCAGCATCTCTGTCTTCATCATTTCTCCTTTACAGACCAACAACCACAGACGTAAGTACGTTACTGAGCCACGCTTTCATTATGAACTCATAAGAAGTGAAATCTATGTAGTTTTGTTTTTGGAGCAGTTTTGTTGTGAAATGCTGCTTTGTCGAGCATAATTAAAAAGATTTGTTGTCTTGTTGGATAAATAATCTAAACACAAGGTCCATTTAGTAATCTTTCATATTTCATGGTCTTCATCGGCTTTGCACTTGGATATAGACAAGTAGTCCTGTTGGTATATGACAAATATAGTTTTGTTTTTCAAAATCCTTCTGTGGTTTCTGTTAAAATATGTTTGATGACTCATCTTGATCTTGGAGGTGTGCACAACATTCCTTTCTAAATAGCTGACTGCAAACAGGGAAACAATGCAGGTTTCACACTTTTCAAAAGAGTGGTGTGGGGTAAGAAATGCATTTAGGGCCGCAACTAACCATTGTTTTCAGACTGATTAATCTGACAGTTATTTCCTCAATTAATTATTAATCATTTGGTTCATAGAATATAAGAAAAATCTGAAAAATTCCTAAAGCGCAAGATGAGCAGTTTAACACCCAAAGAAAGACATTCAGCTAATCAGATATTCACAGAAGACAAAGTGGAGCCACTTAACTTTTGATGGTTTTCCTAAAAGGAATGACGTAAACAATTTGATTATCAAAATAGTTTCACATTGATTTTCTGTCGATTCACTAATTATTTCAGCTGTAAATGTATTTAAGAAAAAGACAAAACAGACACTATTTGTTTGGAAGAAAACTCCACAAGGTACTTTTAAAATGCAAAAAAAAAAAGTAAATTTTAACATCTTCAATTTAATGACAACTGCAAACTCTGATTTAAGTGTAACAGTATGACATCTTTTGTTTTTCAGAAATGGCCTCCAGCAACAGTCTTCTATCTGAGGACCAGCTTCTTTGTCCCATCTGCCTGGATGTGTTCACTCGGCCAGTTTCCACACCATGCGGACACAACTTCTGCATGTCCTGTATCACGTGCTACTGGAACGGCATCCCAGTCAGCCAGTGTCCGGTCTGTAAGCAGAGTTTTGAAAGGAGGCCGGACCTTAAGGTCAACACTTTCATCTCAGAGCTCGCATCGCAGTTCGTGTCGCTTCAAGTGACCGACGCTCACATCCAGAGCCCGGACCAACAGCAGGCTCCTTGTGATGGAGCGGTGCTGTGTGACATCTGTGCTGACGCCCAGCGAGAGGCTGTCAGATCCTGTCTGGAGTGTGTGACCTCTTACTGCGACGTCCATCTAGAGCCTCATCACAGAGCTGCGGGCCTGAAGAGACACACACTGGTTGAGCCCGTGGCGAGCCTGGAGGACAAGATCTGCAAGGAGCACCACAGACTCCTGACGTTGTTCTGCAGGAATGATGGGGTTTTGCTGTGTGAAGTCTGCGCCGGTTTACACCACGTGAACCATGACGTCGTTTCTGTGCAGCGTTTGTACGACAACAAGATGGCTCTGCTGGGGGACACTGAGGCCAAAGTTCAGCAGATGATCCAAGAAAGGCTGCAGAAAGTTCTAGAAGTGATTTTGTCACTGGAACAAAGCAAGACAGAAACTAAAGATGTGATAGCGAACAGCGTGAAGGACTTGACGGCACTGGTCTCTGAGATCCAGAAGAGCCAGACAGAGGTTGTGAAGGTGATCGAGGAGAAGCAAAAAGCGGCAGAAGACCAAGCAGCTGGGTTCGTTAGCGGTATTAGGCGAGAGATCACCGAGCTGCAGAAGACAACGGGGAAGCTGAGGGAGCTGAAACAGAACAAAGACCCGCTTTCTTTCCTTCAAAGCTCCCCAAACCCACCCATCCTTCCCCACACAATGGACTTGAACACAATCAGTTTTAATAGACAAGTGGAGATACTCCACATACAAAGATCTTTGGGCAAAACAGTTCCTCAACTGCGAATGTTGCTGAATAAAATGAGCACAGAAGTACAAAACGTCTCTGACGTCACAGACGTGTCTAAAGATGCTACGCTGAGATGCGTCCAGCAGTATGAAGTGGACGTGGTGCTCGATCCCGATACAGCTCACCCTCGGCTCATCTTATCTGATGACAGGAAACAGGTGAGACTTGGTATGAGTTCAGGTACGAAAAAAAAACAGAACCTGAAACCAAAAACGTTCGCTTCAAAGCTTGCTGTTCTGGGAAAGAGAGGCTTCTCGTCACGTAGGTTTTACTTCGAGGTGTTCGTGGGAGGAAAGACTGAATGGAGTCTGGGCGTGGCCAAGGCGTCTGTCCAGAAGAAGGGGCTTGTTCCAAGTCCTCACTGTGGACTGTGGGCCATCCGGTTCGTAAAGGATAAGTTCGAAACCTCCACTTCTCCAAACGTGCCGGTAAACTTCGGTAAAGTGGAGCGGGTCGGCGTGTTTGTGGATTATGACGGAGGGCAAATCGCTTTCTACGACGTACAGACCGCAACTCTCATTTACTCGTTTCCTACGTGTGTCTTTACTGAAGAACTGCATCCGTACTTTAACCCCTGTAATAATGAATACGGGTCAAACTTGGGTCCTATGGTGATCGTTCCTGTAGGTCGTACCAAGTGAATGGAAGTTTAAGAGAATCTGTGATTCGTGACAGTCACTAAAATGCAGCAGATGTGTTTGACTGCAATACAGATTTTTGTCAAAAAACAGAGCAGAGTAAATATTAAAGAATTAATGAATCAAGTGCAGGAGAAGTAAATGCATAAAAGGAGAAATTAGTAGAGAAACTTCTACAATACAGCTGTGAAGTGTGCAGATTGTCACTTTGTGATTAACTGAGGTGGTGGTGTTTATGTTTGGTGTGGTTGCAGAAAATACAGAGGAAAAATTATGATTAATTTATGGGTAGAATATTTTATCAGAAATATATTTCTGGAGCTTTCTGGTGGATGATTAAGCATCAAAAGTTGTACAATACATAATACAAATTCACCAACATGCATCTTAATTCAACGCTTTTTCCCCCCTTGTAAATATAAATACACGTGTTGCTGACTTTAATAATCATTTTGTCTCTAAAGTGACAGAAAATATTCTTCCGATCAGCAGTCCAAAATCTATGATATCAAATCCTCACATTTGAGAAGCTGGAACAAGCAAATGTTTGACATTTTAGCTTGAAATTATTTTTTTTAACTTTTTATTTCAGCTTTTGCATTCAGTCACTGATGACGAAGGTGACGTTAACTCGAGTTCCAGTGTTTGGAAGTGGGCCATGTTATAGCTCATCACAGGACATTATGTCATGTCACAGCTGAAAATACTGAAAATGAGCGATGACTGAATTCTATTCAGCTGCCTCAGTTTAAGGATCTGGTGTTATTGATGCGGGCTCACTGGCATGACTTACTGGGACAAAAACCCTCGTGCTCTGTGAGTTTTTATGCTGATTTTGTTTTTATGATAACATGAAATATATGTCTTGTCACTGTTGTTAAATGATGTTAAAGCTGCATTCCATCTGTAATGGCAATAACACTTAAATAATAAAGTAAAAATGCATTCTGAGGCAAAGAATGACATTTAAACAAATGTCTCTCTTTGTTTTGATATTTATTATCACTGCACCTTTAAATTCTCTTAACTACTTTCACCTCCTCCCTCGCCATGTATGCCTCATTCGTGTCCTTTTATTCATCTCAACACCCGCAGCGTTCACAACCACACACACACACACACAATGCTCGCCGCTAACACCCTCTGCATTGCCACGACAACGGTACTCTGCCCATCGCCATGGGAACACTCAGTCTCCCCGTTACCCATAATCCATTTCCCGGCCACAATGAGTATTTGACACGGTTCACACTCGGAGGCTGGCTGTATGGGGGGTGGGTGATGTGTGGAAAAACACACACATTTTAACAAATATGGGGAAATTGCCGCTCTGTTTCTCAACGTCTAACCTGGTTTTTTTAATACAATATTGTGCAACAAAGGAGAGCTGGAGGCAACCGTTGCAACAGAGAAGCATCCTGTGCAACATTTGCTGAATTTTCGTACTTGCTATCCAGGTGCTTGTCTTTTTTTATTTTTTAGAGAGAGCCTTGAGGTGGTTTCCACATGAGCTAGCCGGTTTGGCAGGTAGCTGAGAGGTGTGTTTGTAATTGTTTTTGTAAGTGTGTGCACGGCTGTAAAAGCACAGATATTTCTGTGATGGAAACGAGCCAGAGGAGGAGTCCCTCGCCCCACCCCCCAACATGGCCTCCACTCCTCTCAGGGATGGAGGGAAAGAGGAGAAAAGAGGGAAATTTAATGCAGAGGGGCGCAGGCCGCAGGGAGGAGGAGAGGTAAAATATATAGTGTGGGAGCAGGGCTGAGGCGGGTGGATAAAGTGAGCGGAGAAGAGGCGTCAACAGAGGGGTTTCATGTGAGCGTGAGTCAGAATGTGGGTTAAACTGCAGGGGAAAAAAATCACAGTATAGAGAATGGTAGCGATGGTGTAGGAGGAGAGGCTGGATGGAGGGACACTTGATTTATAGCTAAGAGTACAGACAGGATGAGAGTGCTGTGTTCCGAGTATCTCCTCCCACTCACCTGAGTTCTGCACCTCGTTTAAGTAACTGTCCTCAGCCACCACCTGCAGACGGGAAGACAGATGCAGCAAGTTAGACAGCAGACCAGGATGCCAGTTGATAATCTCAGAATTCAGCCCCAAAAGACATGATGTTAGTCAAACAAACGCAGACCAACAACAAGACAGACTGTGGAGGTCAGGAGGTTATGTTTTCTGTTCCTTTTAATTAGCAGACAAAGCACTGGGCCCCAGAACATGAATTTATTCATTTATGGAGAGAAATCGGCCTCAATATTTGTGACAAATGCAATTCATGATGCAAATGTTTGTCCAAAAAAAAAAAACTTTTAAAAATATATTCCATACTGTTTTTTTTGTTTTTTTCTGTTACTGGTTGTCAAATTCTTGTTGTGGGCATGGCATATTTTGGATTAACAACTCTTGAATAAAATAAATCCTCAATATCCCATCTGACCGTCCACTGCTCTGCCTCCTCTATGGTTACAGGTTGGCTGGATTTAGGTAACTAAAGGGTTAACATTAAAAGACACCAACGATGATAGGGACACTTCTTACACCAATCCGGTCAAACAGGTTTTTGCAGCTCTGCAACAACATTCCAGCACCTCCACCTTCGCTCCTGACAGAAACCAGTGATTGTTCTCACATCCACACAAGCTGCCTTTGTCTGTGTCATTTTAAGTGTTTGATAACAAATGAGCGGAGCTGTCGTCGTTCTGCTGAGGGCATCGTGTAACCGCAACCAAATTTAGATGAAACATGCACAAATTGGACGGCTCTCTGCATGGAGGCGATACATTTAAATGGCCACTTAAAGGATGAATCCAACTCATTCTTAAGCAGTGCAGTAAAACTGTCACTGATTGTGCTTCAGCCTCGACAAACGTGTTCCTACTCTAATACCAGAAACCAGAGAACGGAGAAAAGGCTGTAAACTCAGGAGCATTTTCACAATTTACTTGCATTTGTGAATGAGTGTATTCATTAACAGCAGGGAGCACCAGTCAGAGTTACAAAATACAAGCCAGGTGTGAGAGCGTACAGTGTAAACACACACACACACACACACACACACACTAATATTACTTGACAGTATCTGATAATATCTGACAGAAGAATGTCGGTTTCATTTTCAGAAATCAGGTCACACCACTACATAACAGTGGGGCACCTTGCAGAAGAGGAGAGGACACACACACGTCCATGACACACGCACACACACACACAGTGCTGCCGCTGTGAGGGCAGAGTAATACGACACATTTCACCTTCACACAGGTTAGTTTTGCTCTTCAGACAACCGATAACCCACACAAACACACACACACACACACACACACACACGTATGTAACACACTTTGCAAACGCCTCCCAGAAGTCTCCCCACTCAGCTTAATGACATTACAGCGGGAACAGGTGACCTGTGGTAGCGAACATGGTTGCTGATATCTCCGTTCATATCAATCACACGGCTCGATTACAGCGGTAATCAGTTATGACGCTCTCACAGCTGCGTCCAGCCATGCAAATGCACACGAACACACACTAGAGCCGGGACTGTGAAGGGAGACGGGAAGAAATGAAGAAGCAAGAGTCCATTTCTGCTCTGAGGGAAAATGAGTTTCTGCAGAATAGAAAGCTGATGTTTATAGTCCAAACTTTTAGTGCTAAATGATAAAAACGGTGTTGCCCTGACTGGTTGTTTCTGGTAAGCTGTTAAGTTTGTCTTCAGATGATTTTTGTCTTCTATGATTTGGGCACCACGCCTGGATTCAACCTGTAAGGAACCCAAACCTATTTGCGAAAAGGTGAAGTGCTTTAAATTGAGGTTTCCTACCATCTAATCTATCATACATATTAGCTTCACAACCTATTAAAACTCTTTTTGTGCGTGAGTTCACATTTTGCAACTTGGTAGATTTGTGAATGAACACATTTTTTCTTATTATGTTGATATTAGAAGTAATGTAATTTCTAGGAGACAGGGTTGGTGGATTTGCATATAGACAAATACAGCAGATACAGAAGGTGCTCTATGATGGTGGGCTGGCATTCTCTTCCCAAGATGAAAGACAGCATCAGTCTTTCCAACAAGTGCACCAAAACAGCATTCCTGTAGTGGCCACAGTCACTATGATGGGCACAAAGGAAGAAGGAGCAACAAAGTATGCAGTCAAGATGGATGGTTCAACAATCAGACATCAGACAGTTCATTTCCACTTGACAGTCAATGTTTGTTTTTAGTTTTTGTAAAGCATGAAAACATGACGACGAAGGTCCTCTGACCTTAAAGGTGCTCGATACAGAGCATGTCTATTGCCTCGACATGGCACTCAACATGGAGACGGCACAGTCGGTGGCTAGCAGCTAACGGTGCTAACAGCACAAACAGTGCAAACAACGGCAACAGCGCTGACAGAGTTAACAGTGTTCACCTATGGGGGGAACCAGAGGGTGGGCGTTACGACGTGTGATTTCTAATGGTTTGTGAAGGCACAGACAAATTCTGTCATCCCGCCTGAAGGACCTGGACAATGTATTTAGTACTTTCATTTGAAGGACTGGTTGGTTTAAACCTACAGTATTTGTGCCCATTTATTTAGATGCTTCCCTCGCACATGTGCTTTGGCATGCGGGGCCCCCAGGACCCCTTGATTGGCAACTTGAGGGCAACTTCATACTACAACTTACTGCTTTAACATGAAGCTATCTTAAGACTTTTGAGCTATGAAAGTGAAGTAATGTAGATGATTCAGAGCAAAGCAGAGTTTGCAGATTACAGAGGACTGCTGGCCATTGGTGGATTTCCACGGTTTGGTTTCCTTTCCGTTTACTTGTGAACATCTTTGATGTTTTGTTGCAATGTTAGCCTCTTTCTGCATTCAGTCTTTTCCTGATTAAAAGATTTGTCTAATGAAGTTGAAATGAAAAAAAAACTGAAACTCATCTGCGGTGTGCTATTTGTGCTACATGCACGGCTGCTTCCAGTGTAAGGGGGTCTAATTAAATCCTGCACATACTCCACTAATCACGCCTATACAGCTCATATGCTGCACATTATAATAGCACAGCACACACTTAGAACAACATAAGAAAATAGAAAATTAATGAATTTGATTATTAATGGTTTAGCATTAATTTATTGTTTTGCGACTGGAATACGAAGAACTTTTAAACAATTTGGTCGTATAAATGATTGAACCTGACCAGCTGTGGCTCTGGGTGCTCTGACCCACACCTGGCAACGCCTGCTTCACTAGTTTTGGGCTCCAACATGTCTGAGCAGACTGATATGCTGTGACAAGCTTCAACGGGGTTCATTCCCACCACGCCGCGTTGGCAGAGGAGCCACCGATGGGTTCCTCTCATGATATCCCGCCGAGGGGGCCGAAGGAGGAGGAGGAGGGTGGAGGGGTTGTGATTGAGACCGTGCATGGCCGCGTGTGTGTGTTCGCGCGTGCGTGTGTAACCTCTTAATTGTACAATGCGCTTTGAATGCACCATTAATTGGCTAAAAGACAGATTATAGGTGTCTGGTGCTTTTAACGCCCCGACCTGCACCTGCTTTGTTGGAAACGCACCCCGAAATCAATCACGACAACAGACGCGAGTCTTTTCTTAAATATGTTGGTTGCATTGCCCTGAATTCCGGTAGAGGTTTATCAATCCTATTCATCTAATTATCGACCTAAATTAGGTTGCATGACAAATGCAGCTCAGGTCACCAAAGCGTGACTGTCACGGGACATGGGTCAAGAAAAAAAAGGGTAAAATAAAATAAAAATCAGGCCACATTGCAAAATCAACCCCATCATCATCATCATCATCATCAACATCATCAACATAACCATCATCACCAGACAGGAGTATACGTACCTCCGCCAACAACGGCAGCCAGAGGCAGGCGGTTCCGATCAAGCACAACATTTCCCGGCTGGATAGAGCCATCCTTCCCTCCCGGTGCGTCCGTGTCATAGGCAGAAAAGCCGCCGCTCCGCTCCCATATCTGTGCCCAACCTGTCCGCGAGGTGAACCGTTATCCTCCGCTCGTCCCGAGATGCTGGAAGAATGAAACGCGGTGTGTGATGATGGTGTACGTGGGAGGTTTTACGCACAGAGGACAGGGTGCGGCACTATAAACGCTTCACACACACACACAGAGAGAGAGAGAGAGAGAGAGAGAGAGAGAGAGAGAGACACACACCGATCCAATCCTGGTTGAAATAGTGTTGAGCTTTGCAAAAACCTGATGCCACAAGCATCTCCCTTTCTCCCCTCTATCTCTCACAAACACACTTTCTCTCTACATCTGTCAGCTGCCCGATTACTCATTGATGAATTTGATTTTGTTTGCTGCAGGTTAATCACTTAGATTTTGGCTATGTGCACAATGTAGCAGCTGATGAATGTCACTAAATGCACCGACTCACAGTCAAACATACAGACATTGATGTATGAAAACAATATCATCAATAACAGTATTTTGTCTTCTCAATAATCCAGTGTGTGTTTTTGGTTTATGGACAAACATCCCTTTCACTTCACGTTTCCCACGTGGTGATGACAAACAGTTTTTTCCAAGATATAAGAGGTTGCATCTCTTCTCTTATAGAATAGTAATAGTCTGGGTGCAGTTGCCCTTTTAATTTTGTGATTGCCTCATAATGACTTGAGGATTTAAAGTTTCCAACCTGGACTTGAATCTAGACTTCACTGCCAACACTTAAGACTTAACTGTGACTTGCAAAACAATAACTTTATCAATACTGCTGCATGTGTGAATACATAGATACGGACAGCACTCTCCATCATCAAAACACAGAATTGGGGGATTTCGAAAGAATGATGTTCATCGCTCCAGTAGAGTATACAATCAAAACTGTTGTTTGTCAGGGAAAAGTTGTCTGTGTTCATTACAACTAGTGGAAAAAAAGCACTACTCATGTTCGCTTATTTTTCTTGTAGCTGCAAAACTGCTAAACTTAATCTGCTTTGCGAGGAAACATCCAAAACAGGAACTGGCTGTGAAATAAATAAAATCAGGACAGCAAAGATTTTTGGCTAATGGGGACAAAAGCTCTTCCAAAAAAACCACACATTTTGATTATAGCTGTTGACAAAATCGCGTCAGTGCTTTGCTTCGAAATGGTGTATTTGAAGCCAATCCAAGGAGAAGCATTTCAGATCAGCACCGATAAAAACCAGAGCAGCTGCCAGGACGTTTTGTCTTCACTCAGCAGTTGGACTGCACTGCTGGAGAGAAGTGGTCAGCTCAGCTTTTTTTTTCCCCCAGTATGTGTGTGCGTGTGTGTGTGTGTGTGTGTGTGTGTGTGTCACAGAGATTTATTTTCTTGAACATTTAGTCTATTAAATGCGAAACAATTGTGTGATGTCCTGTTTACTATCATAGAAGACAAAGTAAAAGCAACAAATCCACATATTTCATTTGGGACGGACTGAAAAAGAAACAGCATCAGGTATAAGCATGTTAACCATGTTCATGATTAAGTGTGGTGCAGTCGCTAACATTTGTTTCTCATAATTCTCATAATATCCGGGTCGGCAATCAATAAATCAAATGCTCTGACAAAAAAAAGAAAAAGATTCGGTATCTGGTGCCATTGCCGGACTGTAATAAGCCCGTCCAATCATTTCCTTCGGCTACCTGCCTTCGTATTCTGCCCGTGCACTCACTGCTCAGCACTGAAGTCTTCATCAAGCTGCCGTAGCTTGACAGCTGAGAGTACTAACAATAGCCATGTTTACGTTCACAATGATCATTTTGGAGAAGTGGCTTTGGGGAAGGGGAGGCCTGAAGGGACGGGCTGTCAGTGTTGACGACATGGTGACTTTCTTGCTAGATTTAGGGACTTTTCAAGCTAGTGCTGCTAGTTACCTTCATTGGATAAGAGTTGGCATTACTGGGCTGCATTTTTTGGTTGGATCATTTAAAAAATATAGCATACTCTGGCAAGTTCCTCAACATTACCGACCCTAGCTTCAAATAGCACAGTACAGCCAGTACCCCCAAGGATAGGCATTGTCAGGCAAAAGGCCCGGTCCTATAGGGGAGGACAGGGTCTGGTTTGGGGATCTCAGAATTACTTCTCGGCTTTTTGCAGATGATGCGGTTCTGCCAGCAATCGAGTGTGAAGAGGTCGGGATGAGAGTCTGCAACTCCAAATCTGAGGCCATGGTTTCCTGCCAGAAAACAGTGGGTTGCTCCCTCCCGCCTTCTTTTAGAGGTTTCCAGGAACGTCCAAAGGACCCAGAAAACGCTGAAGAGACTGTATGTTTCATCTGGTTTTGGAACGCTGTGCGATCCCCCAAGAGGAGCTGGAAATCACTTCTGGGCAGAGGGACGTCTGGAGTACATTGTCAAAATCAAAGTGTTGGACCGGCCAACATCGCCATCCACATAGAATATCTCTAAAAATGACTTTTCAAAAATACTTGCAGATTAATACTCTGTCAACTGACAAATTGATTAATCATTTCCCCTCTTAGCTGGATTGCTTTTATGGAACTGGAGTTAAGCATCTTGTCTCACACACACTCACACACCATCCATCATCCCTCCTGTCTGCTGTATCAGCACTGCGTTTTGATGCAACATTGGCCACGTCTCTTCTCATCCACACACACAACAGAAAACACCGGAGCAGGAGGCAGCTGTCAGTCACTCTTTTTCCACCTTTCGTCCTCTCAAACTGACTTTCCTCTCGGATGCTGGTTAAACGCCGTGTTTTTCATCCTGTGTTTGGGATCAGGGACATACAGTACAGACCATCTATGCTCAGTATGTCAAGAGGAATGGGATGTCCCCGTTTCATAAAGTGTGAGCACCAAACGAGGCACCAGTGTAATTTTCTATCCCTGTGCTTATGTGATCCCCTGAAGCTGTGCGAGATAGATTAGCTAAATTCATCTACTTCACAGAGTTTTGTTTTACCCACGGGCCCCAGGGTGGGAGATTACTTGGGAAATTAAACTCATAGTTTCACAGTTTCTCTTGCCATCGTTGCCTTTGATGTCGGTGTTTGGTGTTAACAGTTTGCTATCTTTAACCCAAATCCAATTTCTGTTATCATCATCTTTCTCTCTCTGGTTATCTCTGCGTCTCTCTTTTCCTAATTTCTTGTTTATTGCATTCAGCGTGTAAACAACATGGATGGACCAGAGCAATAACAAAGCAATACCATGCATGCACATACAGTATACAGTATGTGTGCCTGTCTGCTTCAGCACAGTTCTTTTGTCTACTGTTTTTTCATTCCCCACACAAGCCCATATGTGATCCTGAATGAGAGTTGGCATCCCGCTGGTTTTTGCAAACCGCCTAGTTGTCATGGTAGCGTGGTGGGTATATCTCCCAAATCCTTGACTGTTTGTTGCGTCCATGTCCAGAACAAAAGGCGATGGAGGAAAGAAAATAAAAGATGAAAGAAGAGGACGAGAATCAGTCAAATAAAATCACAACAAATTAAAATGGCTGCAGGCTCGCTGCCTGTCACGATGGATTTCTGCAAAACGTAAGAGCTTTGAAGATTAACTTAAAACACACACACACACACACACACACACACACACACACACACACACACACTCACACACAGTCAGAGGTTTTGTCATATGTGTGTGTTGAAGTTCTACCCAGAAGCACTTCCTGCAAATCCCATTACACCCGTACACACAGCTCAACTGAGGCAGTTGGTATGGAAACGGATCAGTAAAGCTCCAAATCTCTCTTTTAACGAATCATTACCAGTCGCTGCCGCTCATTAATGTCACAGCTTCCGTGCAACGGCAGCAAATAACACCATCACTAACCCAAAGTGCTACAGAGAAGAGAAGGAATGTGTGAAAGGGTCTGTGAGCACAGTGGTAATCATCCTGTTTCTCTTTCCCCCTCCCCTGTAATATTTCCATTTCCTCCCTTCGTTTATCTGACATCCTTTTACTTGCAGACGCTTTATTGTGCTGCTTGAAGACGCCTTTGCTGCCACAGAGAAAACATGATTGGACAGCTGGTTTTGCATCTGAGACACACCTCTGGAGATATGAAATAACAGGAGTGCATTTCACACCCTATGAAATCAAAAATGAAAAGGCAATACAGCATCAATAAAAAGCAAAAAGGGCCACGGGTGTAAGTGTAGATAGGGGGGGGACACACACAGAGTGTTGATTCTGCAGAAAGAAAGAAGAAGATCACAGCTATTTTATCACTCTGTGAAGCCGAGTCCCCGCAGAGAGCTCTTGCTTCCTGCTTCGCCTGTTCTCTCATCTCGCTGACAGCCGCAAAACACAGATGGAGAAATCAGGAGGATGGCGGAGGAAGACAGGGGGGACACCATGAGGGTGGAGGAGCACATGTGAGATGAAAGGGACGGGGCTAACGGGCCTGAAAGGAAAAGCTTACTGATGTTACAGCAGCTAATCCTCAACCTGGCTGAATAATGTGGCCCCGGGGTCAGTGTGTTATTAGATGTGTCTGCCCCTCAAACGCTCACACAATCTGTTCGTGCAAATCAGTTCCTGGTTAGTGACACCCTGTAAAAGGACTTTCATTCATGGGTAATGATTTTAACTGCACCATAAACAGACAGACATTTACATATCTAATGGAAGAAATGACTTGGCTAACAGAATACTCTCAAAGAATAATAGATAAATACTGAAAGATTTGAGCTTTGAGCTAAATGCTAATCCTTAGCGTGGCCAAAAATGCAGTTAGGTGGAGGCCACAATTTGCCACGTTCCAGCTGAGTAGTCACTGAGTCACTGCTATAAGTCATTAGAAATACATTCACGTCAAAGAATATTACACAGAACCATGTGTTCCCATCTGGGACGATTAAAGATCCTCAGTTGGGAACCGGTACCTTGCCCCTGGCAACTTCTCTGCAATATTAATTTGATCTCAGTGTTGCGGAGGACAAATTTAATTTGGTATTTTATTGTTCGGTGGACATGAGAAGTCCCCTGATTGAAAATATATAAATACAGAACCCTGGTTTGCTTTAGTTTTCTGAAGATAAAGAAGGTTATGAATAAACACACACAAACATACAGTACGTTTATTTATTTTGCGTTGAAATGAGTGATTTACTGTTAAACCACTGTCTTCTTTGTGTGAATAAGAGGCAGACTTTTATGTTGGGAATGTTGAGCTGAACAGGGAATTCAGATCAAATTATGAGGCTACGCTGCCACCTAGTGATGGAAATGCACTTCATCATAATGCAGCTTAGTTAATCATCAGTCATAATAGTGCTGCTAATGGAAAGGGCTTTTAAAAAATAAATGGGAATATGTGAAAAACTACACAAGAGCAGACAAGAGTGCACACTTTGATGCTTCAATCTTGGACTGTTTTGGATCATTCTGATATGATTATCATATAAAATAGTACATTTGTTTAATTCCTTTGACTCTTGAAGATGTGCCACTGCCAGAGAATCCAAGGCCCAAACATTTCAGTTATTTTTTAGAAAAATTCATAAAAGCAGCTAAGCCTCCGTAAAAGTAAAAAGTGCAATATTACCCTTTAAATATGAACAATGGTCGTGGTCAGGTGGGCCATGAAAATTGTATTCTTCTGTAAAAATTTTATTTTTACAAAAAGCTTCATAGTTTGACAAATTATATTTTATTTTTAAATCTACAGTGTAATATCAATAGATTATGTTTCAATCTCAAAAATATGTAACTCTTGGAATCTGCAAGTACTTTTAATATATCTTTCTAATACATTTCTCTTGTGTCGCTCTTTCATATAACAAAGACTATAGAAGTGTAAATCAAACTAGAAAATGCATGTCCTGCTGAAAATGCGTTCGAATGCTGAAAGCTGAAATGAATCGCAAAAAAATTTCCTGAAAATACAGAAATGGGAGACTACCTGTCGGAAAAATGTTGAAGGCAAAATGCACTGCACTGCTGAAAACCCTTCTAGTTGAAATGTATAACTGGCAGACTCAAAAAAATGCAAATTAAAAAATTGAATTTAATTAAAAAATTGAATTAAATTGAATTGAGTTAAAAAAAATTGAATTAACTTAAAAAAATTATATTATCCAAAAGAATCTGAATCTTTCTAAGTTTATTTTTTAAGTAAAATTGCAAAGGAGGTAGAACAGATGAAAAATAAAATTTATTTATTTTAATTAAAAAAATTAAATTTATTTATTTTAATTTAAAAAAATAAATAATTTATTTTAATTTAAAAATAATCAAAAAGTGTAATTAATTAAATTAAATTAAAAAATTGAATTGAATTAACTTAAAAAAGAGAGGCAAATCATAACTCAGTTATTGATCAATTTTACTACTTTAATCATAAAGAATATCAAACTTCACTCGGATCTTTTATTAAACAAGAAAAATAAATACAATATATATATAAATATAATATGAGATCAGAGGCTGATTGCTTTGCAGTAAAAGTAAAGCTATTGAAACGTGGTGAGACTAATCATTTATATTCATATTTGTTAAAAGAGAAAACAGCGCCCTCTTGTGGTCAAAACTAGACAACAACTCAAATATCAATCATAAAAGTTAAAATGTGACAGTTCAAAAAGTGTAAAAGATATCAAAACGCTGAATCATACGGCAATAGTTCAGGGGTTTCTCAACATTTTAAAGTTGAAATGGTGTCTGTAGCTGAAAGTATGAGGAAGAATAACGATTGGAAAGTTTAAGAAGTTTAAGAGGATTTGAAAATGTTCTCCATAGACATCCCATTCAAAAAAAATTTGCAAAAAGCTTAATAATTCAAAAAGCATAAGAGGTAGAAATATGACGTCATTGCAGCTGAAAGATTGAGAACCTCTGCTGTAAATAACATCACAGTATTTTTGATCGTCAGGTCTCAGTACAGGTGCGTTTTGATAATAGATGTTCAGGTTTCGACGCTGCAGCGACCCCGTGTGGTCACTCGGACTCTGTGCGCTGCAGGTTTCTATCGGAGCAGGTGTGGTAAACTGACGGTCAAACCGTTGCGTCAAACTCACAGAGAGACGCAGGTCTAAACCGGAAACCACGCCATCGAATCTTCAGAGTAAAAGCACAAACTACTACAAAATACACAAGACATCGCTGACCTGCAAAAAATACAAACTTTTGGATGATATGTCGAGATACACTGATAGATTCGTACTATATTTGTATATAAAGATACATATGGTTTATAGTTAAAAACAGGCCTGCTATCACACTGAAAGTTTTTACATCAGTCATTCATACATTTTATTTATTCAGTAAATGGGTCTGTGAGCTATCCTTATCTTAATCCAGAATAATATTAAAAACACATCTATATGCTGCCACCAAGTGGGGTTTTGGAATCTGCCTGTGTGTGATAAATTGGCTGCAACGTTGGCGGCTTTTATTTTGTAATTCCAACCCGGGAGCAACGCAGCAGAGCCGTGAGCAGCAGTGAGCTGTCTGTCTGTCTGTCAGGCGATGAACGCACACCGGTGCCGGTTGCAGAGGCGTGCAGACAGCGGCAGGAAGGACGCGCGGGCCGAACCGTCGATCACCGCAGATTGCGCTCTGCCTTTGTCATGTTTAAAACGCGGACCCGATCCTCAGAGAGTGCGACTGATTCTAACCGCCAAGATGTTGACAGACATGGTCGTGGAGCAAGAATTTGACATCAAAGAGGAGGAACCGTGGTACGACAAGCAAGACCTTGAACATGGTACAATTTCCTTTCAGTCTTTGTCTCTGAAGCTCATTGAATCATGTCAATCATTTCATAATATTAACAGTCAAATCAAACAAATATGGGATATGCATAGGACGGTTAATGTATGTGCTTCATTACAAACTCGATATGCAGGTGCACAGGAGGTTACATTTGTAAGAATTTCCATGTGATTTTGTGAGCCTGTAATATATCATATTTTCACTCGGGGTGTTTCATTTAGTCTACCCGCTGTTTTAGTGTAAATGAAGCACCTTGACAGGCTGCAGGAAAAGGCAGGAGTCAGCAGGACCCTCGCATATGCGGCAAAGTGAAAAAAGAAAAGAAAAGCTCTGTCTGTAATGAAGAAGTGTTTTTGACTTCGACTTCCTTTTAATGCTTTTACACTTCAACTTTATGGGTTTGTGTTTGTAATGTCCCCGTCTCTGCTTCCAATTGTGTCCTGTTTGCTTGATTTAGCAGGTTTTTTTAATGGTATATTAAAGAAAAACAAATAATAAGCGGCTGTGGTAATTGTCTGAGTCAGGAAATAACCATCAGTCCTCACTTATCAGAAGACTTGAATATTCAGTTCATATATAGGTGGATAAAAGTGGGTTACTGGACTCCTGCCAACCGACAACAACCTCACAAAGCTGCTTGTACCGTAAAGTCCTCATGTCTCCATCAGTGGGACTGAACTATGAGCGCTGAAGCACTAATGGTCCCTCACTCCGTCTCTCCTGCAGACCTGCAGCTGGCTGCCGAGCTCGGGAAGACTCTCCTGGAGCGGAACAGGGAGCTGGAGCAAGGGCTGCAGCAGATGTACTCCACCAACCAGGAGCAGCTGCAGGAGATCGAGGTAAAGAGACGTCTCGTCGCCCCGGCTTATGTTCGACTGTGTGTCTTTATCCAAAGGGCCAGGGTGTGCTGTCAATAAGAGGGTATACTGTCACTGATGCTTGGGTCATGAAGCACTGAGTTCCTCTTGAATGCTGTGTTCAATTCTACCATCCAAGCCTCAAATGAGCCTAAAAGCAGAATACAACATGCTGCCGTGCAAAGGCTTTGGGATGGTGAGGACATGCTGCTTCTAAGGCAACATACAAGCTGCCATACATTCTGTCTGAAGATTATTTTGGGGCTTTTTTTTTTTTTTAAAGGGGCGACCTGCAGACACAACTCTAACCCCAACCCAACTCCGCTGAATCTTCTGGGTTAAAAAAAGTAATTGTGCCATTTGTATTTATAGAAAACTCTCCTAAAAAGATGCTAGAACTGAACATCAAGTGCTCTTTACAGTAAATAAATCAATAAAACATTCTGAATTAAGTTTAACATATTCATATTTAAAAGGATCAAGTCTCAATAATAGAAGTTATGGGTGATTATTGTGTTTGTGCATTACAACGCAACAATTTAAGTGTCGTTTTTTGGTATACTAACATTATTATGGAAAGCATAACCAATTAATCTTGATGTATTATTTGCTAGATAAATGAAGAAAATTACAATTCTATTACTCGTAAATATGTGTCTTCCTCTGTACAGATTTAAGAAAGGTGCATGCAGGATTTCCAGTCGACCCTCAACCGAATCATGAGTTCATTTTACTTAAGTGACGTAAATTCAATATTTAGCTTCAGGTTTTTGCAGATTTTCAAGACTGCAAACTTTTCATTTCGTCAAGTACGGCTCGTCTGGCACTAAATCTGTCTCGCTGCTGACACTCCGAGTTTAATCTCTTAAGACCTTGACTGGATACTCGTGACATCACGTGCCTGAATCCTGCTCCTGACTTGTAGTGCAATCAATTACCTGCTTTACTGTCACTCTGAACTGGAATGAAAGGCCACTAATGATAAATCCACCACTCCATGTAAAGAATCTAAACAAGTAGAAGCAACATCTTAAACGTTAACACACTACCTACATGTTATTCATTGATTTGTGACTGTTTGTTTCCAGTGTGCCGGTGCAGTCTGACAATGAACTGCAGGTCTGTTTCCACTGTTTGGTCTGTTGATTGACAGCAAGCAGATTAGATGAGAAAAGGTTCAAAGTGTTCTCGCTGCAACAGCTGATAAGATAACCTGTTCTTAAGGAAACTGTTGTTTAAAGGAGTTTTTGATTTAGAGGCATTCAGGTGTAACTGGGAAACAGAAATGTCAGATTAGGTCTTAACATTTATTTTAGGCTTTCAGCTAAAACCTCTAAATGATGATGATGATAATAATAAGAGCATCATTGTAATCATTAGAAACCATTGATTCTGCTGGTAGTTGGACATACTTATTATTGATTTGTTTTAATTGTCAATATTCTAAATATCTTGCAGTAAAAACATTACATTTTGCCATTCAGATTAATCAGAAAAGGGAAGTTTAAGACCTGATTTTAGCCTCAATTTTCAATGTTCCTGTTTCTTTCTTTCTTTGTCTTTTTTGTGCATCTTTTTTTCATGAAATTTGCTTTATAGATACCGTTGTATTTTATTTTAGTGTGATTCAAAATGTCTTTTTTTAGCTAATATAAAAACAGCATTGACAGACTGGGTGTCTCGTTATTGAAGACATCTCAGCAGACGATGATGCACAACGTTCTGTCCCGTCACTCACGCCCTCATCCCCGTCCCTCTGTCCCCTCCTCCAGTACCTGGCGAAGCAGGTGGACCTCCTCAGGCAGGTCAACGACCAGCACGCTAAAGTGTACGAGCAGCTGGACGTGTCGGCCCGAGAGCTGGAGCACAGCAACCGCAAGCTGGTTCTGGACAGCAGGACGGCGCAGCAGAAGATCCAGGGGTAAGCCTGGAGATCAGAAAAGCGGACAGATTTTCAAGCGTTTTGGTACAAAAATGTCACCTGTTAGTAACGCGACGGACCTTCTTTGCTCCCAGGCTGACGGAGACGGTGGAGCTGCTGCAGACGCAGGTGGAGGAGCTGCAGCATCAGGTGGAGGAGCTGAAGCTGAGTCCGTCTCAGCCTCTGAAGCGTCCGCACAGAGAGAAGTGCGCGCCTTGCACCTCTCAGAGTGTGTCCTGCCTGAAAGAGCTGCAGAACACCCTCAGGTGAGGACTCCACACTGTATCTGTATCATTAGGGCTCCGTCGATGGATACTCCGTCACATAGCATCATGAATGTAATATTTAGGGGTTTTAATCTGGACTGTTTACTGTCAACTTGAAGACGTCTCCTCAGGCTCATAAAACTTTTAAAAGACACTATTTGTGACACCCCTCTCATATCTGCGCCCTCAATATGAAGCTAAGAGCCAAATCATTTCATAAATAATAACTTGTGATTGTGACAGGGAATTATTCAGCTCAAGTGTCTCTTGTTGATGTATTGAGCCTTAAAAAAAAAGACTTTAAGAACTTTAACTTATTCCTTAACCACATAGAGGAACCCTCTTAACTGCCTTCTCACTGATCCAGAAGCTCTTTGTAAGCTTCAAGGAGGGAAGCAGCAAATCCTCCACTGAGTCCTGCTCACTGCAGCTCTCCCCCATGTCTGCTAATCCTACTGCTGGCAGTCGGCCACCTCGCAGCAAGTCTCACTCCAAATGCTGGACCGTCCTGCGACGGCCTCATTCACTGAGTTTAGTGTGTGTGTACGTGTAGTGTGTGTGTGTGTGTGTGTGTGTGTACATGTGTGTGTGTGTGTGTGTACGTGTGCGTGTCAGAACTGCTCCCTCAAAACATTCCGATCAGACGGATGTAAGTCTCACTGATTAACTCGACAGAGAGACATGAAACAGGTCTGAACTGTGGTGGATGAGGTTGGAAGGAAAGAGGTCAAAGTTGAGACATGAAACAGGTCTGAACTGTGGTGGATGAGGTTGGAAGGAAAGAGGTCAAAGTCGCGAACGTGTCTCAATATCTCTCTTCAGCTCAGATTTATTCTTCAGCTGATCTCTAATCTATACTGAGAAGTTCCTGATTCCTTACTTAGTTTGCTTTTCTTTGCCTTATCTGCTATATTTTTAGTTATCAAACGTCTCCCGTATTTATGTTTTAATTTTTAGTTGTGTGTCGGTTTGGTTTATTCTAGCAAAAAAATACTTTATATACACATTATATAAAATATTCTTAGTTAAAAAGACATGCAATTGGAATGGAGCTGAAATAAATCATTGTGCAAGACTATATTTTTATTTTGTTTGTTTTTTCATTTTTATCTATCCGTCTTGCACACAGATATCCAACACGGATAGACACAGTACAGTATAGAGTACATATTCGCAAAAACTAAATATTAAATAAACTACAATTTTGATTTAATGTATGTCAATCTCCGACACCGTTGCCATTCACCTTAAAACAGGAGTGTTCTGTTAATTGTAAACATCACATTTTGCATCTGCAGTGTTGCGAGTTTGAACCCGGCCCGTGACCTTTGGTACGCGTCGCTGCCGTCTCTCTCCACGACGCACTTCTCGTCACCTTTCACTTTGTTTTGCCCGTTTAGGAAGCGCACAAACGAAAGTTGTGAAAGGGAAGACAAATTATCAGCCTGCATGGCGACGATAAAAGTCATATACAAAAAGTTGACAAAGCAACATCCACTCAAGGTCCACTTACTCGCCTGCTCTGGGTATCACATGGCCTTCATCGGCAGGAGAAAACCATTCTGAACTATTGTGAATACATGAAAAATTGAGGAAAATGACCTGAAAAGAAAATGAAATTATAACATTCATCATATTGAAAAATATTTAAAGGCAATCACAAATCAATGACCACATGATCATCTAGTGCTAACCGCCTGTGTCTCTGCGCAGGTACGACTGCGACGAACCCTCAGACGGCCTCGAGTCCTCCGACATGTCGTGGCGCGAGGAGGAGCAGGCGTCTCTGCGACAATCCCTCCGCAGCCTCCAGACCCAGTTCGCCAGTGAGCGCGCTCAGAGGGAGGAGTCGGAGCGAGAGGCCGAGCTGCTCGCCCGAGAAAATGCAGCGCTGGAGCAGCAGCTGACGGGGATGGAGGGCTGTCGGGTATGTACGATGAATCTCTCACCTGTTGTGCATTTGTAGGCATAAAATGTATATTAATACTGTCAGAAGTATCAGAAGAATGGCTGCTGCACCGCTTGTTTTATCAACTTATTGTTTTGAGTTCAGCTCGAGTTCTAAACTCTTTTTTTTTCGCTCTCTGCTTCAGGCCAGAGTGTCTGAGCTGGAGCGTGAGGCCGAGGAGCTCCGCCAGCTCTGGAAGTCCGACTCCTCCACCGGGTCCACCAGGCCGGACGCCATCCACAGCCTGCTGCCCAACGCCATGTTCCTCCACCCGGAGGAGGAGAGCGAGGGGGACGCAGCTGCAGCCAAGAGCCCCTGGGTCCTGAAGCGCTGGGACAGCGAGCGGCTGATGAGGGCCACGCAGACGCCCGACTCTCCCGACCGGGTCCACAACCACGAGTGCTCCTGCGTGCGGCGTGCCGACGTGGTGAAGTATCGCGGGATCTCGCTGCTCAACGAGGTGGACGCTCAGTACAGTGCCTTGCAGGTGAAGTACGACGAGCTGCTGCGGCGCTGCCACCTTGGACAGCAGCAGCAGGAGGAAGAGGAGGAGGATGATGAGCCGATCCACAAGTCGGTCCAGACTGCATCTCTTGCCGCCGCTTGTCCTGTTCTGACGGACATGGAGGACTTTCACCAGCCGGAGTACAAGGAACTTTTCAGGGCGATTTTCTCCCGCATTCAGAAAACCAAAGAGGACCTGATTGAAAACAGAGTGGGACCCTCAGCTGGGGAAGGGCTGCCAATTGTGCATTAGTAGACCCCCCCTTAAAAAAAGACCTGCTGCAAGATTAATTATTGTCTTCCAGTTCAAGAGCGACTCACATGAAGCTTACCAACGCTCCACTTTACTGTATATTTGCAGACGCAAAGGGGTTCAGAGATGCGAGTGATGCAGGAACCAGAAGGCCAAACACCAGCAGCTCATGTCTCAGATGTGGCTCATTTTGCACAGAAACACCGGTGCCTAACGCTGCCGTCTCCACTGTGCGCTCGCTCTACCTCACTTTGTACTGTTAACAAAACATCTCTGGGTCTTCTTCTCGGTAGCCGTATCGGTAACAGTTTATTCTACTGGTCCCAAAGTTTCCTAGAAAGACGTAAATTCATAGAAAGCTCCCTGGAAGAGACGTAAAGATGTAATTTGGTGCTAATTATAGAGAAAATGGAGACGGTGTTAAAGCCAATTCCTCTGGAAATCAAACTGCAATTTCTGATCTTTTACATTACTGATTATATTGTTAATTAAAAAATATTATTTAGTCTATTCAATGAAAAAAAGAAAAGCCCATCACAAGTTCCCACGAAACTAACATCTTCAAACATCTTGTTTTGTCCGAGCAACGGTCCAAAAATGTTCTCACTGTATCTGCGTTCTTTACTGAGCTCCTGAGATCTGTCTTTCTTTGCAGCTATTTAAAAAAATAAAATTTAAATAGTTTTGCGAGCGACCAATGCAAGTTGTTATATTGGTGAAGGAGTTTATATTATTAGACTTTGATGATGAAAGTTCTGATAAATAGAGATGTGTTTTGTAATCGTAAAGTTTATTTCCCAGAAATGATACTTGATTATTGTACGATAGGTTAGACGACTGTGAGTGTTGTATTACAGGGAAGTTCTGAGGTTTACCAGAAGGCTAACTCTATGTACGTGATGCTGATTGTATATTCTGTAGATTCATGAAACGGTGTTTGATTAGAAGCTTTTCTCAGCAGCACTTCTGTGGCTTTTTGCTGCCTGACGTCCGTGTGTCCTCGTTAGGCTTTAGTCTGTGCGCACAGTTTGTAGATGTCTGTAAAAAAAAAAAAACACGTTAAGATGCACTTTAGAAAATTGCACATTATCAGTGATCTTCTGACAAGTGTCCTGAATAACCTGCTGTATGTGTGTACGGTGTGTTCTACCGGTTTCACGATTGGACCTCATGGTTTATGTTTGAGCCATAAAACATGAAGCAGGTTTCTGTCTGTTTGTTGTAAAATATGATTGAACTTTATTTATAGAGACGGTTAAACTTGGACGTCACAAATCGCTGATGCACTTTGAGTTACATAATTTATATATTAATAAAACGGCTTTGACGTCGGCCATCCAGACACACTGCTGCACTTCAGACACACTCGACACGTCAGCCGGAAACGACAAAGAAGAATCATTAACGGGTCAAATTAAGAGATGGAATGGGAAACGGTGTTGCATAAAATTATAGCATGTAATATATGTAAATGGATTTTCAGCACAAGTAACAGATTTAAGTAGATTCAAGTTTCTACAGTTAGATTGTTGGACTTCTGAGCCATTACAACTACTGTTGGGATTGTGAAATATAACTTCTTTCATTAAAACATTAGAGTGCAAAGAAAGATCTTTATATTCTGTCACAAGCTCTACAATCTAATCAATCAAATCAGCCACAAAAAGGTTCCTTTTGTAAAACACTTTATAATCATCCAACCAGAATCACTCATCAGAAATGAAGAACTAAAAGTAGAAATAACCTACAGATGTATCTTTTCTCTGAGACCATTAAATCTACCAGTTTCATTTAGATAAAGTAACTGAACTCTGAATTTAGTTTGAATACAACTTACAAACAAAACTGTTTATGAGGAAACAAGTCTACGTTTGAACATCAATATAACGTCTTTCTTTATGCACATAAGTTTGCACCGAACATCATGAGTACTTCAGTAATCTGTAAATAAATCATACCGTAAAAATAGTCACCTCACTAATACAGGTTCTGACATTTGGGGTTCCATCTCACCACCGATGACTGACAGAAAACAAGTTATTAACAATGTTTATTGAGCAACACAAACCAATGCAAAAGAAATACACCCGTCATTGTTTGACGATGCACTGTTACATTTTAAAGTATTTCAAAGAGAATCAAAGCTTTATTGCTCCTCATAGTCTGCGAGTGTGTGTGAGTGAGTGGGAGTTTGTCTTGTGAGGCACTTTTAGACGGAGGCTCAAGATAGCAGCACAGATGTTGGTCCAGTGTTTGTGTCCGTTCCTCTTTGTTGGTACAAATTCAATTAAACCCAGACAAATTTGATGATCAAAATATGACAAAAAAAAAACCATATTCACCATTGCATCTTTATTGGCCGTCATTGAAATCAGCCTCTCTCAAAGGAAAACCATTTCAAACTGTACATTCAACCAGAAACAAACCTCATCAGCCATTTAATCCGCTCCTTCCTCCAGCCGTACATCTCAGTGCATTCCACTGAATGATGCGGAGATGTGGGAGAAGCCACATGTGGCCATGTTTCCAGGTCCATGATTGCCAAAACATATTCAGTGATTTCAGTTGTACAGCGTGAGCGTAATGTCATCAGGGACTTGTTGCTTGTTTTTTTTTTCACCTTTAGGTTTCAGTTTTGCCTCCACGCGTTGTAATTAAGCAACCGTTGCATTTAATCATAAAGTTTAACTCTTTCATGGCGTGTATTGAGGGTGGAGTTAATAACCGAAACGAGTCGGGTCAAAGACGGTGTGTTAAGTTAATGGCTTTCTTAAACAATGTTCGCTTTGTTGATACGATGAAGCAACACTTGTTTCCTCCGGCTGAATGCAGAACTCAGGAGTGAAATGAAAGCACTTTGAGCCACGTTGCTTTAAACAGTGAACGCCATCCTGATCTGGTAAATGTTTATTTAAAAAAAAAAAAATAATCAAACATGAGGTCCAAACAAAAAAAAATCCAAAACTACTTTTAAACCGTATATATAATCTTGCTATTTCTTCGTTCATATTTTACCCGTCAGACACTCCAGGTCGTAGTGAGAGTGTGTGAGGAGCTTCTGTCCTCCGCGCTGCATCAGAGTGCTTGTGTTAATGTCAGACATGCTTCAGTGTTCCATGTTCTGAGCAGACCGCCGACATCTTTTGTCCTCCAATCGCCCGCCCTCAGAGTGGGGGGCGAGCTGCGATTGGCTCTCGTCTCTACGGATGCCCTCCCACTAGACACCCGGGAGAGGATTTGATTGGCTGTCGATGAGGAGGGGGTGTGTGTGTGTGTGTGTGTGTGTGTGTGTGTGTGTGTGTGTGTGTGTCTGTGTGGGGGGGGTGCCGTCAGTGTCAGGACTGTATGGTTCCCTTTAGGTACCACATCCCTGCATGGCTGATGCAGCACTCCTGCAACAACAGAGAACAAGTTAGATCAGTGATGAAAATAAAAACTCCTTAAAAAAAAAAAAAAGGTGACCGTTCAGCCTCATCACTGTTCTCACATGGAGTAGACGGTCAACGTCCGCCTTCGGAAAGTCTCCAAACTCCTGGGTCAGTTTCACTTGTATCACGTTCCTCCTGATGCGGTAGTTCTTCTTGTACAGCTCGTACAGCACCTGACGATGCTGCAGGAGGAAAACAAACAAACACGGAACTCATTTAGGGGAATAGTTTGGCATTTTGGGAAATACGCTTAGTTGCTTTTATGAGGCGAGTTAGAAAATCGATACATCTCTGGAAAGACTGGAAATGGGGGGAAACACTTAAAAAAATCCATCTACCAGCACCTCGAAAGCTAACTCATTAACATGTTGTATATTGTTTGTTTTTAACCAGCAATCCCCTTGAGACATCACACCAATTAGTTTAAATAGAAATAAAACAACAGACAGGAAATACAATGATCAAACACACAGAGAGACTAAATCTGTTTATACTCGAGCATTAACAGAGCCGTTTGTACTCTGTGTGCTGTGCTTTATTCTAACTTTTAACAAAGGAAGTCTAGTGCAGAGTCATTGCACATTAAAGAAAACTAAAAACAACAACACAGAGGGAAAAACACACACTTGGCCTGCAGCTTTGCCTCTTCAGCTTGTGGTTGTGGGTGACAAACTGAGCCATGTCCTACTTGTCTCTTCTGCGTCGCTTCTCAGTAATGAAACTAATTGATCGCGGCCCACGCTACAACACGCTGGGTTCTGAACTTCAGGCTCCGACTTGTGGTTTGTGGTGCATTTCAGCTGCAGGAGTCTGCACGTAGAGTCAAGAGACGAGGAGGAAGCTGTGAAGTTACTATAAACCTGTTTTTAAAACGTGTTTACCTTGTCGGATTCATCTCCAGTCTCCCACAAAGCAAACACCTTCTTTTCATCGGTGGCTGCTGTGGTCTGAGCAGGAAACTAAAGGAGGGAAATAGAAACGTTTGAAAAGCTTTAACATTTAAAATCAGTAAAGATTCTCAGCACTCAGCCTGGTTCATCAAAGCCTTGATTCAAGAGTACAAGTGCCATTTTATGCAATGTTTAACAAAAGACGGCATTGCTTTTCTTTCTCTCGGACACATTTGTTGACAAAATGCCAAAACAATACGAGGCCGAGCAGGACCAACACCGAGGAGGATTACCATCCAGACAGTCCGACCCGCTGACTCAAAACTGATCTGTGAACTGTCAAGACATCTAAAACAACAACGTTGTACTGAACGTAGAAGGCCAATCGCCTGACTCCAGATCTGCCTGCGTTTGAAAACAACAAACCGGCTTAGTCCCCCCCCCCCCCACCTGAGCCGTAATGAGCTTTGCTTCGAGGCCAATAATCTGTTGCATAACAAAGACGACGGCTGGCCATTCCCTCCCCTGCGGTGGTTAACACCCTTTTAATGTCAGGCGTACAGATTGGAGTAGACCTAAACCAGGACAGGGCTGGTCCTGGCAGGAGATGTGGCAGCTTAATGCAACAAGACCACGCAGTTCCCTGCCCTACGAGCAAACACCACACCAAGTAAATACGCAGAAACAGAAAACATCTACAGTAAGCCTACAAACAGCAACCTCAGTCCAAACACACTGAGGCATCAGGTGGCTGCTGGACCGTGAGTGGAACATGAGAACCAGGTTTGCATTGCTTCAGTGCACCTCCCGCTTCACTGGTAACAAAGCGCTCACAAGCAAAACAGCCGTTAATGTCGTTATTCTGTTTGAGGAAACCGATAGCTGCATTCAAGCAGTGAAAAGCTTCTTCAGCCCCGACAGGCGGTCTAAGCTGGACCAGAGCAGCAGCTCTTAGTCCAAGGAGGAGGAGGAGCAATCTCTTTTTAAAATCAGATTTTACTACTAATGTTTGGGGACGCGTTTGAAAACTCAGTTCAAAAATGCAGAATAAGACGCATTAAAGCTTCCTGCTTATTAAGGATTGTTCGCCTGAAAATGTTCGCCTTTGAGAGCCTGTGCTTAATCACTAGCTTCACTGTTTAATGAGCGTTGAGACAATAATACCTGTTGCAACATGCCCACATCAGGGCAGTGTTTCTGCCCGACTATCTATCTGAACGCGGCCTTATACAATACCAAGAGTTTACATCTCACACCACTGTTGGGCTTGAATCGTAGGAATGTGAAACAATACATCTGTTAGAAACAACGATGGAGGAAGTAAACTAAGAGCCTCCGGGGTGAATGAAGTGGGAGTTTGACAACCGAAACTTTGACAGTAGAAACTCCGGCCTGAATACTCACAGGCACCATTATCTGTTTGCACTGGCAGAGCAGTATGGCGTCCTGTAGCATGTGGTCCGAGATGGAGGGGAAGACGCTCCGTCCCACCGGCATGGAGGCCAGGTGGAGGCTCAACAGCCTCTTGAACTCACTCAGCGTCAGTACAAAATGCTTCCTGAAAGTCTTGATCACAAAGTCCTGCAGCTCCTGGGCCGGCGCGTTCCCGCCATCACCGTTGGTGTGATCGAAGGCGGGGGAGGTGGCACTGGGGTAACCGTTGACCGACCCGTTGGGGACGGAGGAGGAGGTGTCCATCGGTTCTTCGATGGGTTCCTGCTTGACGTGGACGCCGTCTCCTGCCCGCCTGGCATCCAGGTCCTTCTGGAGGGACGACTGGTTTCCTTGAGCGCGCTCGTGAGCTACCTTCAGACGCTGCTCCCCGCTGACGTGCACAGGCTCTGGAAAACAACACGCTGGCATCAGCTGAATGTTTAATTTTCATTGTGTTAACAGCTGGCTGTGAGAAACACGGCTCGGTACACACCAGGCTGCGGGGAATTCTTTGGCCTGAAGTCTTCTTTGGAGAAGTTAAAGACCTTTTCCAACCTTAAAGGAAAGAGAAACAGCATTTGATGACACTTCGACTGACAACACCGTGAAAACAACCTTCCTCCCGCTTCTCTTGAGTGTGACCCACTTGCTCTGGATGCCGAGCCACAGCATGTGTTGCCTGTGGCCAATGTCTGGGTGTTTCTTGACGAATTCCGCATCGGTAGGCAGCAGGAACTCCCAGCCCCGGTTGACTCGAGGAACGGCGACATGTTCCAGGAACTCCTTCACATCCTCTGGAGGAAGCTGGCAGAAGACGGGAGGAAGAAGTTGTTAGTTCTGTTTACCTGAATGAACGGAGCGGCTTTAGCCTCAAGGTGACAGGAAGTTCAGAGACAATCCTGCTTCAGTGAAGCTGCTCGGCATCGAAACAACCAACAGACACTGTGGGGGCACCGAGCGTGGTTTTTTTCCTCAAACCTACATACACAAATATGCATCTGTTGTGCTATCTTGCGATGTCATTACCAACCAGGAACAATCACTCTGGGATTAGATTCTTACTTTGATGATGGATGCGATCTCCTTTCTCATCACAGAGCGCTCCAGAGTGAACCTCCACATCTACAAGAGAAACAACGAGTCACTATGACTTTAAAACCAAGGCGACCACACACTAAACGCCTTCTCACGGCACGGCCCTGTTATTGGTTTAACAGTAACAGCAGCTCACCACAAAGTCACGGCCACGACAGAGCACTTCGGCGGGGACGCCACTGTGAGGACTGCAGGTGTTTTTAGGATACAGAACATCACTGCAGAGAAAACAAAAACACAGAGACGTCACTCTGCTGCCAGGTCTGTGAGTCGTTAAGAGAAGCACGACACCTTTAATCTGTTCAAATCTTTTGAGTGACATTTCCTCTCACCTCTTGACAACCCAGTTGCCCTGAACCAGCAGCGCCACCTGCTGGATGCAGCGCAGCGCTGCGGTGGAGTCTGTGCCAGAGGCGAGCAGCCCCATCAGGTTAGCAAACGGCATCAACTTGACTAGAGGAGAAAATATTAAACATTACTGTCAGAGGAAGGACAACCCAACTGGATGTTGATTATATGGTGTAAATAGGATGCACTTCATGTCTGTGACAAATGTACAGAGCACAAAAACATGACTGGAAAGTAAAAGCCTTGAGTGAAAACCAAGCTGCTGACAGAACTCTGCACCTCTGTTTGGATGCATTCAATAATTCTTTACAAAGTTTTAAATCATTTCACATGTCTAACATTGATCCTAATGCTTTGTCGCCCCCGTCTGGCTTTAAGAAAAGCTGCAATTTGCATGCGTCTTGTCAATGCGTTGTCCTACCGTTCTTCATCAGCGTCTTGACTTGCTCTCCCAGCGGCAGAGTGCGGAGTTGAGCCATGGAGAGCACATTACTGGGACCAACTGGTTTCACACTAACAGAGAGAGAGAGGAACATGTCAATGAAGCTTCTCTGAGACCGTCATCCTGTTTAAGTCTCACTCGGGTTAGTAGAGGGAGGAATACTTACACTTTTTCCTCTGCAAGAGGGGGCATCAGCATTGCCAGGTACTCCCTGCAAAAAAAGAAAAGAGAGAACCATCAGGAAAATCCACATAAGCGATATTTGCAATCAGACCAATATTTTGTTTTTCTACGGTGGGCTCAACATTAATGGCGTCTAAAATCTGAAAGGACGCAGTAAACTCACGATCCACACATCGATAGGAAGCACCCTGTATTTTCCCCAATTATGCTTCATTGTGAACAACAAATGTGTTGAAATCGGCCAGAATAGTTCTAGTTAACGTTGGCCGACAGCAGCCGGTGGGCGGCACAGTCCAGCTTGGCTAAATAACGAAGCTAACAGCTAACATCAACGGAGTTTTATCATGATGTGTTTGAAGGTACATTTAAAAATTCATCAGCATGATGGTTTCAAAGGTAATCTTGTAAGACTGGGGGAATTATGAGAGTCGAATGTAATTTGTTGATACTCACTTAGGAGTTTTGACCAGTTCAGAGTTCTCGGAGGCGTCCCCAGACTGACAGAACAGGTACTGCCTCTCATGGTCTGAGCGCCCATCCTAAAATATAAACAACAGGTCAAAGACAAAAACAAGTACAAGCTCCGTCACGTTTGCCCACGAACCCAAAACTAATGCTCTCAGCATTCTGGCGACTCTTGAAAGAGGGATGAGGTGGCCCGATGGTGCAGCTCCCCTACCTTGACACCGTGGTAGTGCAAGTGAACCCAGGGCTCCTCCGCCTGCTTCTTCTGGAGGAAGTCGTACGACTGGAGCCTCCTCTGTCGCGCCTGCTCCGACTCGGGACGAGCAAACCTCACCTGGAGTGGAAACGCATGCAGAATGAATATATTATTAAGAAATGATGGGTTCAGGGCAATCATCAGTTTGTGTGTATGTGTGTAAGCCTTCACCGTGATGGCCTTGACGTCCTCCTCTGCTTCATCCTGGGAGGAATCTCCTGCAGGCAAAAGACTCTCATCACACAACAGTCGGCTTAATGTTTTAAGACATTTTTACAAGTTAGCAAAAGAACAAAATTCTAGTTAATAAAAAAACCTGGCACTCTTTATTATATATATATTATTTGTGCCGAAACACAAAACGAGTGCTCTGCTGAAAGAGCTCAGGGTTTTTTGTTTAAATATTATGTTAATGAACAACAAGAGTCCACTGAAACAGTAAAAATACAAACAGATCTTTGCCATTGTTCTGTTATTTAAAAAGAAAATTAAAAAAATCAATCTTCTTTAATCTCTCTCAATTATTTAATTTTGGAAAACTGCCACACCTTCATTGGCCGCCTCCCTCTCTCTGGTTTTGGTGTCGGCCTTGTCCAGGTAAGAGAAGCTCGGCCTCATCTGGAGGATTCCCGTCAGAGGTGTGATGTGGAGCTCACCTGTTGACGCGAATAATTAAACAATCAGAAACACAAATACTACTTTTGGTGCTCAATTGTGCATCATATTGAGATTTTGGTTATCTTCAATGTAAACACAGAGAAGTTAACGCGAATAAGAAAAGTACGACTGATAACGACTCATACGGACTGTGAACATATGAGTGTTTACAAGCAGCAGCAACGAGGTTAGACCAACCCAAACACAAGCACGGTGCTAAAGTGAACTTCTGGATCAAATCAGACCTTTACGAAACACAGCAGCAGCATATCTGGAGGTGTTGGTGGTGGCCTGGATGGAGGTGAAGGACTGTTTATCCATCATTTTCCTGGAGAAAAAAAAAAGCAAGAGAAGAATGCTTAGACCAGAGACATAACTGGTTAATTATTCTGCTCATTCGCAAAGAGAAGTCTGGAAAAACTCATCTAGCGCTACAGAAATAGTTTGAGTTTTATTTGTGTTCTTGCCTAAAGTTGGATGAGAAGATCGATACCAAAAGCACGTCCAAAACAGCTGGTTAGCTTAGCATTAAGAATGGAAACAGCTAGCCTAGCTCAGAATAGCCAGAAAAGGTGGTTTGCATTCTGAAAAATGCCCCTTGATGCTGTGGGACATCCTGATACTTTTGGAATACTTTTGCATTTGACTTACTATGTATTGGGACATACATGGTAGTATGAGTATTATAATGCTCAGTTTACCTTGTTTCCACTCTTTATGCTAAGCTAAGCTAACCGTCTCCTGACTGAAGCTTCATACTTGACGAACAAACATGAGATCGGCATCAACCGTCTCATCTAGCTAATCGCCAGGAAGCAAATATTGTTGAAGCTCTGCTTTACAACTCTGGTGGCGAGTCATAGCGAGCTCACACTGACCGATGGGACCATAACGTACAAACTGAGTGCAGGTGAAGTTTAACAGAAGACTTACCCTGAATAGGTGTTGGTTTCGTCGTAAGTCGTGCCGTCCACATTCAGAGCGATCTGCTCTCCTTTACTGCGACAGTAGTTCGGACTCATCGCGTTGATGGCCAGTTCCAACTCCACCTGTATTAGTGAGATGCATTACAAACATGCTCTACACTGATGGATTATTAGAAAAAAGAAAAGAGCCTTTTTTTACCCGTTGCTGCTTGGGTTTGATCTTAGCTGATAAGTGGTTGACGTCATCGTAGGTCATAGTGGACGGTCGGACGGGGTACTGGGTCGGAAAGTAATCAATAAAGGTGATTAGAGAGTGACTCGTGACACTTTGAACATTGTACAACAATCATGCTACAGAATGTAAGAGTTGAGATAACTTACAGAAACAAAGAGAGTCATACTCATCAGCATTAAGTACAACAAAGGAAAGTATTACCTGGAAAAGATACAGCTTATCTGCAAGGCTTTTGGCAAGATAAACATCGATCTAAAGAGAAAGAGAAACATTGATCAAAGTTATTTGAGGAGCTGATGAATCGTCTCAGTCAAGCCTTTCCTACAATCCGTGTGATTGTTTCTGATGCCGTATGTTTGTACGTGTGTGTGACCGGTTAGCTGGCTGTGTTTTGTTTGTGTCTCATCTCTGCAAAAGAGCTCTTGATTTAATTGAGATTACCTTAAAAAGGTTATAAATAGATGTACTTATGCATTACATTTACTCAATCATTTTGCAGCACCACAGCAACCCCTGGGTTTACATTACCAAACACAGAAATGATCCCAGTGCAGTGTGGTGTACAGACTTCAAATGATGGGAAAGGAGAGCACTGGTATATGAGTGGGAACCAGTATTAACAGATACCCAGAGTCAAGGAATCAGACTCAGGAGAGAACAGAATGGATCAGTGCAAACCTATTTATTAAACATTTGGCACCTTAACATGTAATATCCTGCCAATCTGTGTCTCGATGGTTTGGACCTTTGTCAACAAGTGCAAAGCAACAACATGTTAGCTATAAGTTCGATATAAGTAGCAACGACAACACTCCTCTCTCTCATTCGGCCTTAACCTTAAATGTTCCCACACCAGCACTGTAGATGATAAGTTGATAACAAAGATTATCTTTAATCTTAACTTTTCCACCCTGTCCGGGCACTCAGCCACAAGATCATTCAGTCATGTTCATAATGATGAAACCACACGTCACCCAGTAAAATGGTGTGGCTTATTATCAGGCAACTATCAGGATAAACTCTTTGTGGGTTAAAATATCTCCAGCCTCATGCTTTAACTTGGACCCACAGACATACCTCCTCTATAATGGGGTCATCGTCATCCCCGCTGGCCATATTGATGTGAGGAGGAACGAGGAGATGAAACAGCAGCAGCAGATCTCAGAGATCCAACCTGGAGACAAAGACACAGTTATAATTATGTATTGTAAAGCTACACATCAATGATGCCAAGTGGCTACACCCAAGCTGGTTATTAACAGGTGGCAGTAAGAAGAACATTATGATTCAGCATATCCAGGTTACATCAGGATTCGTTGCTGTGTTGTTACAAGGTGTGTCAGTCTTCAGGGCTTAAAGTTAACCATGAAAACCCCCAAAGTTAGCCCCCAGCCTGACCATGCAGTCTGTCAAGTGATGCTTTGACTGACACAACCAGGTAAATGTCACATGATGCAAGACAATGCAATCCACATTAAACCACTGCTCTTCATGCAAACATTGTGTGACAAACATAACATATAACCCAACACGTAAAAAAACATGTTGACTCATAAATATACTCGTTACAGTTAAGTATTCGTTAAAATAAGTCACATTACTGGCTAGGTTAGCTCGATTAGCAAGCTAGCAACAAACCCTTCAGTCCACTTGTCACAGGCCTGCACTACACTGCGGGTTGTTATTGTTTTATTCTGATATAACGTTGAAAAACATACACCTGTAAAAGAAAGACCAACAGCTCAGTGTTTAAATTTCCTTTACGCAAACGTACACGCAACGAAACTAGCTAGCTAACATGCAGGTAGCCTAGCCAGGCAGCATTAGCTTAGCGTTAGCAGGCTAGCTTGGCGTGCTAACACACAGATCAAAATAACACACAAGTCAAAAAAGGAACTGTTTTGTTTCCTGAAACAACATCCAGGGTAGATTCAGCTCTCACCTGCACACTTCACTCTACACTCTTAGCTATCTCATCCGTGTGTGAAGGAGTCCAGCAGTCTGGTGCGTAGAGGAGTAGTATCAGCTGAAATCTGTAGGTGTCGGTACCATGTTGACTGCTCCACACAGACACGTGGGGAGGAGCCCGTGCCCATAATGCACAGCGAGATCACTATCAAGTGTTTTATTATTATCTCTTTCACTTGTTTGTTCATATTTGCATTGGAGTTACCTGCATTTTCCAGTTCATTCATTATGTGGTGAGTACTTTAGGTATGAATGTACCAAAAGGTTTATGGCAGCGGTGGGATTCGAACCCACGCCTCCGAGGAGACTGGAGCCTTAATCCAGCGCCTTAGACCGCTCGGCCACGCTACCCCATTGATTAGACTATGTGATTATATAAGAAATTTTATAAATTACATATATATATATATATATACATACATATATGTATACATTTATTTACAAATTACTTATATACATACATTAATATACACACTACATTTAAACTGTTATACTTAAGTTCAGAAAACCTACGAATAAAACATAACATATTTAAATATCCATAAACAAAAGGAGATCAAAAAATGTGACTTTGATTTTAAATTTCTTATCTATATACTGTAGCGTATATAGTATATTTAGTGTTAAGTTAATGGAAGTACTTGAGTTTCATCTGGTGCATTTTGAAAGGAATCTGCTTACATTTCCAAATAAAACATTAAATTAAATTGAACATGAAAGTATATTTGCTGTATTTCTGTACGGTAAAATATTCTTCCTCTTTTTGTATGGGAATAAAAATGCAACGCATTTTTAGGTAATTGTGTTGTAACTGACAAAATCCATTTATTTTCAGAGTTGACACAAACATTGTGCCTTGGTTGCATTCATGCATTTTGGATTTGAGATGAACCGTTATGAGAGCAGCATTTCTGTTGTAACGAGAACCATGTGAAGAGTTTTGAATACAGTTAACTCAATATTAAGAAATGCTTTTGAACATTTGTTTTTAGGATGTAACCTCTCGTCTGAGAACTCCACTGTAACAATGAACTATACTTTTAAGTGAGTCACCTGGAACAGACATTTAATGACAGAGTTCTTGTCTACTGGAGAGGGAAAGAACACAGGGATGAATAGTGACATGTGTTTACCCATAAAAAGCAAACTTTATTTAACCGTTTTATGCTCCAAGAATATTTAAACATGCATTCTTCCAACATGAATGTAGAGCAAAGTAAGTAAACTATTCTCTTTATTTTGATCTTTCAGACCTTCTCTTTCATGCAGCCACATTCGCTTAGTCCAGGGGTCGGCAACCTTTACGATCCAAAGAGCCATTTTGCCCTATTTTCCACCAAATAAAATTTGTCTGGAGCCGCAAAAGCTATTTGATATCACAGCTTATAAAGTTTTATATATAGTTATATTATTTATACAAAAACTATAGTTTGTTGTATTTATGAAAATATAGAACAAGAATAAAGAAACTTCTTGACATGTTATTGCTATTTTAACTGTTATAACAATATCAAACCCTTATGAAGATGAGAAAAAAAACCTGCTCAGTTTGCTGCAGCAGTTGAGCCGCAGGTTGCCGACCCCTGGCTTAGCCAAAATGTAATCAGACAGGGAATTAATGAAAACAAACATAAGGAAGAAGAACAGAAACCTGGACATTTAAGCCTGATTGGGTAGATGGATAGAAGGTTGAAAACATACACAGACACACACTGCACTGCGGCAGAAAGATAATATTATACAATATAAATATGTAAACTGTAACCATTCATGTAAAAATTAACTCTGGCGGCCTTTTTGTGATAAAAATGTGTATCCAAAATTACTCCTCCATTAGCGCCCAGGCTTCTTCAGCTTTCATGTAGTACTGGTTAGCCAGTCGGCCTTTCATGGCCTCCATGGCAGCTTCTGCTGCTTCTGTAAACATATCACCTGCAGAGAAGGATGGTGGGAGCCGTTAGGATGCAGGCACAGACAATTATATCCATCAATTAATGACGCCATGGTATTTTTTTATAGGTTTACACGGGGTACATTTCAGTGGACTATTCCTTAAAATGACGCAGGTATATTGAAGTGTATTTTGACACATCGAGGTTTGTTAAGCCAGCATGGAGTCCAACCTGCTCTCTGTGGGTCTGCAGTGAGCTTGTTGCCTCCCACTTGGTACATCTCAGCCACTCTGGCCAGCAGCAGGTAGCGAGGCTCGTCCTGCGTCCCGTCAAACTCTCCGCCCTCGTCGTAGTCTGTCATGTTCAGCACACTTTCATACCAGTGAATCGCTTCCTCCCAGTCCTGCTTTCTGGATAATCAAAGAAAGAAGAAAAACAATAATGCACAAAACCTTCAGCATTACAAATAGTGCCATCTTCCTTTACTTTAATAAAGGAAAGATCTAGAAATCCCTCTAGGGGGCAGTGTTATCATATCTTATCTTTACCCACAAGTCCATTCATAATACAAGTCCAGCTTTCCAGAGTTTAAAACTCAACCACTGACCTGTCAGCTGACAGATTGATCCCAGTATCAAAGGCTCGGGCCACTGTGATCATAGAAGATCTGTCGCCGGCCTCCGCTGCCAGCAGCAGATAGTTAATTCCTTTCATCTTGTTTCCAGCGTTATCCTGCCAACAACACAGACATATTAAATCACAAGGGTTCACACTGTACAAAACCCGAAAAGGCTAAATGAACTTTAGCGTGGTACCTCCAACTCCATCTCCGGCAGTATGTGGTGAGGCAGCTGCAGACAGCACTGTCCCAGCGCCACGATGGCTTCCAGTTCTCCGCACAGCGCTGCTCTCTCCAGGTGCAACATGGCCGAGTCCTGATCCCACTGCTCGTCCTTCTCACAGAAGCGACCCCCTTCGTGGTACCGCACCATCGCCAGGTGGACCTGGTTCGGGAGGAAGGTGATCCAGAATACATTCAACAAATGAAACTCACCTTGAAAGCCAGATTTCAGCCAACCAATCTGATCTTTTACCTTGCCGAGGATCGACTGGCCAGTCTTCTTCTGCATCAGAGCGTTGAGTCGCTCCACCTCGGTGGCCACGCAGGAGGACCGGTGGACGTGAGCGCGAGACGAATGGTAGAAGCTCCACTTCTCCTCCGTCAGCTGAGCAGGAAAAGACAAGTCAAGATATACAAGAAGGAGGAGGAACGGTGATGCTCTTAACCACAATCATCGGAAAACAAATCATATGATGAATGTATGTAAAAACTCTCAGGGGTGTACCCATCCAGACAAGTTTGCTTTTGGAACTTTAGCTGATGAATGAGCTGGAGTAGTACATCCATGTTGGCGTCAGTGAATGCAAAGATCAGGTAAAGCATGGGAAAACGCGCGCGCGCGCGCACACACACACACACACACACACACACACACACACACACAGTCATTAGCAAGAGGGTGGAGTTGGTGAAACAGAGGTAGATGGTGTTTCGGTTCCTGTTTTCAGTGACTCTGAAAATAAAGGCGGAAACAGTGGCAGCCTGGGTAATCAAATCAAATGTAACTCGAGAGAGCCATGCTTGATGAATAGTAATAAAACAACAACAGGGAAACGCTCGGCGGTCACAAGCCTCCATGCAAATAATCACCCATTCGTTGTCGGCATTGTAAGAATCTAAGTTTGGAGTGAATCTCGGAGAAGCTACCATCTTCCTCTAATGAGTGAACACAAAGAGCAGGAGCAGCTAAATCAGAGGGAAGGTGAGGAACTGATTCTGCTGTTAAATTACGTCATGAGGAAAAAAAAAAAAAAAAAACAGACAAAGTGAAGAAAAACAAGGATGAGGGAAATCAGAGGAGGATTATTTGATCACGGTGATGATGATGATGATGATGATGATTAGCACATTTACACACTGGTGTCTCTACATTTGTTTACCTGTCTGAAACTGTCCTCATCCGACTCCGAATAATTTCTTTGGCTGCGATGACGGGCCTGGAGGACAATACAACATGCATTTATAAAACCTACAGTTAGACTTTATGTGGAGAAGAGGAAACGTTTACAGACTAACAGCTGCTGAGAGGACTGAAGGACAAAGGAGAGTGAACAAGAGAAGTCTAATATGTCAGGGCTTAAAAATGATGTTTGTTTAAGATAATAAACAAACCATGAATTATTCAAACAAGCTGTGACGTATCTAAAATGTCGACTTGGTAAATGCCAGACATACACAAATACATTTCTTAGCCTTGTTTATCTACAGACTTACTGACTCTTTTTCACGTACTGATAAAAAAAATCCTCAATAGTCAAAATGAAAACAAACACAAGTCAGACGTAAGCATTTACCCCGTCTACGTGGTCATTCGGGTCTCCTTCACTCCTCCTCTCGCTGGGGTAGCCGCTGTCCCCGCCGCTATCAGAGTCCTACGGACAGAAAGACATTTTAGAGATCAGTGTAGGGACTCGTGTGAGCCGTGATGTTTCGTCCAGCTGAGAAGCATCTCAGAAATCACATCTTTTAGATCATTCGTGTTTTTATATCATCACGTCTAGATTATTGCAATTCATCGTATTAAGGGATCAAAACCAAAACACAATCGGATGCCTTCAGACATTTCAAATCTCAAATGCAAGAAGACAAAACGTTTACACCACTTCTTAAATCCTGCGTTTGATTTTTCCAGTTACAGTATCCGTTTCATTTGTTCTATTCATCCTTCTTTTGTCCTGTTCTTTAATGAGGCAATTTTATGTTTGTACCTTTAATGGCCGGATTTAAGTTAATTGTAAATCCATGCAAAGCACCTTGTAATGTTTGAAAGGTGCATGTAAATTAAGTTCTTTCAAGAAACAGTGTGTACTATTTGGGAATTTACTGGCTGAAATGGAATACAATATTCATAACTATGTTTTCGCCATGTTGCACAGCCATTGTTCTACCGTATCCCAGAACGTACAAACCAAACACCGGCTCTAGAGAACCTTTCACATTTTTAAGTTACTTGAAGCCAACCGCAGTTATCCCACGCACTTGGAAAGTGGAGGGGTGTTCAGTTAGTAGAGGTATTATACGTAGCATGCAGCGCCGCCTAGAGGTGGAAATGTCGATACTGTATTTAAGTGACGGATGAAGTTTACTCCAACACATATTTTTAGCTTCTTTTACCTGGATTTTACATAATCTTTTATGAAAACAGATACGAATGTAATGTAAAAGGACAAAAATAGAGACTTTACATCGGCAAACATGGAGCTCTTGGGACTCAACATGGACCTGAGGTATACCGACTTATCTACAGTTTGGTTATGAGTTATTGCTCACCTTGTTCTCACCGATGTTGTTATTATTGGCTCTTTCATGTTCGCTCATTCCGATAAATGAAAAGCCTGTAAAATGTAGGAACATTACAAAACTATTTAAATGGTGGAAATGTACGGTTTTACATGTGCAGTATGTAATAACATTGTTCATGGACACCGTACCGAGAGGGGACCTTCCCATGAATCCATGTGCAGCTAGCGGGGAGCAGGGCAGCGTGAGAGGGGAGCAGGGGATCGATTCTACGTCGCTCTCGTCCACAGAAGACGTCTCCGACAGGCGGGACAGCAGCGGGTGCGACCGGCTGCCTGACATGGTGCGAACACGAGGAGAACCGCAGGGCTCCTCGCAGCCCCTCAGCACCGTCTGGGCTGATTTCTGAGATAAAAAAACAAAACAAGATCAATCTTGATGGAACAGCAACAGAACAAGCAGAATACACTGAAGATAAGCATCCGTCCTATGCTAATCCTGCAAATTGAGTTGGAGAGCGAGTATTGGAAATTACTGTTTGAGTGTTTAAAACATAATGCAGCACCCTTTTCATCCTTTTATCTTTCTTTTTAGTGCTTCAGGCTGCATATTCAGTTGAGATCTCTCCATCTTACAGGAAATAAGGTCCCAAAGCCGGTCAGACTCGTGACTAATTATGGCAACTGGGAATTTTGTTTTGTTGTTTTGTTTGTTTGTTTGTCTGTCTGTCTTTCTGTCAGCATGATTACAGGAAAACTACTGGCCCGATTTTCATGAAACCTGGTAGAAATGTGTAGCACGGGCCAAGGACGAACCCATTGAATTTTGGAGTAGCTCGGCAGTGCCCAGGAGGCAAACTGCCACCTCTCCAGCTACCAGCCCACACTCCATACTTGACCCTCCAGTTTCCAAGTCACGTCTCCACGGACTGAGCTACTGCCGCCTCTTATTGTTCACTTATGGGAAAACAGCCTTGGCAGAGGTCTGCGATCTACAAGTTTGTAAACTTAGTGACATTTGTTCCACATTTTTATTTATTATTATCATTATCTTATGAACTATTTTTACTCTGACCTACTTCTGATTTCTGGCCCTGGCTGACATTTTATTTATTATTATAAAAATGTTAAAATTACAAGCAGTTTGTTGGTGCAGTCCAGCTGGGACTTCTCTGCAGGGGAAAGGTCAAAAGGCGTCAGGCCCATGCTCTTGCAGATCTTGTTACAGAGGTGGGAGTGGAAGAACAGCGCCATGCCCCGCACACCTGGAAAAACAGGCACGATTTTTTAACAATAAATACTATAATTTAGAACTTCACACGTGTATCTAGCAGCAGTTTGTCAACATCAAAGGAACTGTACCCAGATTTCCATCTCCGAAGTCCGTCCCCTTCTCTGTGTGGATCTGAGGGTCAGTGTAGAGATCTCCAACTCCTTGGATGTCCACCACGATCAGCTGGTGGCCCGCTCGCTCAAAACTGAAGTGAGTAAAGGCCTGATGGATGCAAAAAGAAATGAAGGTTATTCATTTAGTATTAGCTCGAACATGTATAAACACTAAAAGGTGACGCAGCTGTACCTGTGGGGTGAGTCGGATGTTGTCGTCCCTCACGAAGCCAGAGTTGGAGTTGTATTTGATGTACTTGCCCTCGATGTAATGTTCCAGGTGGAAGAGAGGTTTGCCTGGTCTGTCCGTCATCTCTATCACACACATCTGGATGATGTCCACCTGAGGATTAGAGAGAGGTAAACAACACTCACATTACAGCATTACAGATGGTTACGTCATGCAAATGTCACAATGGATTATTTGTCACATGCACAAACAATGTGTGCCGTGAGATGCATTGTAACCCGCTCCTAAGGCTGTGCAGAAAAGTGTGTTTTTACAGCTAATGACATTCTCTGGGAAATAATTCAATATCATTGTTTACTGTTCTTCTATTATGATGAGCTGAAATGATGATGAATACATTCACCAGAGAGAAATTATCAATTTAAATACATTATAATAATAATTAAAAAATATAGCACATTCTCAGGTTACAGCTGCTCAGTTGGCAGGTCCTGCTGCTTCCCTTTGTTGTATATATTACAATAAACTGAATACCTCTTGACTTTTGTTCAGACAAAACACTTTTTTTCAAAATTGTTGGACAATTAATAGACTAAATGATCAAATGCTTAAATGAAAAAAAATTGCAAATCAATTGATAATGAAAAGAAAGATTAGTTTTAGCCCTAAATCTAAGATTCAAATACTTTATATTATGAAAACAACGATGGTAAGAGGATTGTGCTCGCCCCTGATTGTCCCGTCCCATGAACTAGGCAGCACATCAGACTGTAAATGTTCTCTCTGTACCTGTTTGGGAGGTCGGTGGCGGTTGTACTCCTCTCCCCAGAGCTTGGCCTCCATTTGCAGCGTGACGTCCTCAAAGTAAACACTTCTGTCCACCGTCTCCATGTAACTCTTGGACACATAATTAAATGCTGACTTCCAGTTGCTGCTGTGTGAGAAATTTGACAACTTCTTCCTGGAGGGAAAATAAATAAGATATTGCATTAGTGATCAGCATTTCAGTTAAATTTAAATGCATTTACAGTTCACTCACAGATAGAAACCTTTATAAATATACATAACGAAAGCCACATTTTATCATAGCATCAACTGGAACAGATGTCAGATGTACACAAAACTGCTCCAAAACCAGGCGGCAACCTCTGGATGATATCAATCAGAAGCTCCGCCTTCTTTTGTCACTTCTGGTTGCAAAAAACCAAGATGGCGACAGCCAAAATGCCAAACTAAAGACTTCAAAACCGTAGTCCACACACCAATGGATGACGTCATGGTGACTACGTCCAGTTCTTATTTACATATACATGTCGATGCTCTAAAGTTTAACCCAAACACTGTATGTACAAATCCCACAGGGACCACATACCATCATTCCTGATTTTCTTGTTTTATCTTATAAGAGCTGGATGATTTATGTTCATGCTCAAGGTTTTGTCACAGTGGAATATTTCTGTGGGATACTGCAAACAGCAAACAGCTAAAGTGGGAGGTTGATGGATGCCTCGCTTTCACATTTCCCACATAACTCAGGTTCATGCACGAACAATAAGACCATTATCCCTTCTCTCTTTCATTCTGCAGGGTCATGCAGAAGCCAAAACACAACACAGAGGCGCAGTGACAACGCTGTACGCTTCTATTGTCTTTCATCCAAAACAATAAACAACTAAAGCCCCGGTGCCATCACGGAGGACTGTATTGAGCTGCTTCACTGTGATATTTTCCGTACCATCTTTGGCTCTGAAATTACTAAATTAGTCAGCAGCTATCCTCCCGAGTCGGAGCAAGAAATGTAAGGAATGTGGACCTGCAGAAAGAACTCTTCTGCTCTATTCACACTGAGACCACGAAGGCCTCCGTTACCAGAACTCGAGGGCATTAACCGCTGGATGAGAAAAATACTTCAACTTACGTTCTGAAGCACTCCCTCATCGCCCCTTTCCCAAACGGCTGTGAGAAATAAATAAGAGAAGAGATAAGAATTAGTTTTTGTTTTTAATGGCGACAATACAGTCCTTCTAAAGAGCAGTAATACCTGGGCAGCCATCTTGATGTGGATCTGGTCTTGAGCCCACTCTCCTGTGATGGCATTGTACCTGCAAAGAGGGACAGTGAATTTACATTACAGTCATTTTTTATTTTTTTAAATGATGGACGCTCTTTAAATTCACATAAAATAAAATCCAATAACTAAATCTAATAACACACTTAAAGCCAAAGTACAGCCTCACAGAGCTGCTAGCATGACTGTACTTCAAGTTGTGTTTTATTCTGAAAGGACAGCTTCTTTTCAGCTTCTTAAATGTGAGGTTTTGATGCGTGTCTGTGTTTAATATCATTATGATCTTTGTGTTTTGGACTGTTGGCTGCACAAAATAAAGTGATCTGACAGGTTTTTTTTGTTTTCCACCTGTTACGTTACAATTCACTCACACTGGATGCCGGCCTACAACATTGAGCAGAACTTGTTTGTCTCTTTTGATTCGACTTCGGTTCCTAAAACTCTCGTTTACTCTTTGCCCTCTGTGAGGGAGTTCCTATGTCAACAGCTCGTTATGAATTCTTATCACGGAGGCCCATAAAGCATCTGGCTTCCCCTCTGCGGAAAACCAACAAAGAGAGAAGAATGAAACAGAGGAGTTGTGTGTGCTTTCGTTTTTCTTCCCAAAAGATACGGCACTTTGTCTCTGCAGCCATTTCTTTTTGGATTTAGGGTTAAATTCATGTAATCAGGGAGGAACTCATGCAGTCGATATGGCGATACAAATATGTGACTAAACACTGTGTGTTTTGGCTTGGCGGGGTGTGTGTCCTGAGTTAATAAATACTGCATGAAGTGTAGGTGCAGCTGCAAGTCTTCCCAGCTCAAACCTGAGTGCCTTCAAACTCAGTATTAAGCTCTGCTCCTCCATTGAAACAAGAACAGCGCTCTATTCTGCCAACAAAGCGTTTCAGCCTGAGGAACGCAGCGTACCACAGTGACATTCATTCCATCTAGCTGGGAGGGGGGGGGGGGGGGGGGGGTACAAACAGGGAGTGAGGAGTTGGGTTACATGTGGGTAAAATTAGCACATGAAAAGAGGAAGCGGAGGCGAATCCCAGCTCCTGACAATCCCTCCTCTCTACAGTCAAGTCCCAATCCTGTCACTAGCAAAGGAATTATTTTTCTTCTTGCTATTCTGCATATTTTAATTGTGTAACGACTCTTGACATAAAGCAGACCACGTCTGAGAGCTCTGCAGGTGTGTGTGTGTGTGTGTTCATGTAGCCGCCATGTTGGCTGTAATACCTGGGTAAACACCCGAGTAATCCCGGCTGCAGTGCGAGATCTTAAAAAAAAGAACTGGGCGGTCCGAAGGGCGTCAATGTGCCCGGTGAAGGGGCAGTAATGTTTGTCAACAGTTCAAACTGACCCATATATGAGCCAAACGGGAATAGCAAGGTCGACTAACGTTTACCAGCCCCGCATCATCTCACCGGCTTTGTTTTTGGTCGAAGCAGGCATCTGTTTTTACTGCTACAAAAACTCAAAAAGCCTCCTGTGTTGATTGACAGCCACACACAGTTATTCGTACCTGTAACGAAAGCAGGCTTCAGTCTTGATTTCCTCCAGGTGGAACTGGGCCCAGGGGTCGGGCATAGCTTTGGCCTTTTCGATCGCATGTTTCCAATGATCCTGTCGCAATAAGCAAACACAACTTATCAGCTGACAGCGTTTGTCTTCATGCAAAGACAATGGACAAACCTGTTTCCCAAACAGGTTCGCAAGAGGAGACATTGAATTTGAACAACAAAAGCAACTGAAAGCGTATTTTTGTGCTCTCTCTGCACAACACTTTCTCTCCTCTATTGTGCGAACTAATTAAGCAAATTAAATGTCACAGTTTCTGCATTGAGCAGCTTTCCCTCATTCTTCAAAGTATTTGCATTTAATCAGCTTAGAGCTAGGGAAGCCTGCAATGAACATCATTTATCAACAAGTACATTTATATCCATCTATTTATTTGTTATATTTCGTTTTACAAAGATAGGAACGCAATGTTTAGGTCAAGCTTGTTGCTGCCTTACACATAAAATAATGATCTCAGTCACTTCCACACAGTGAGGCGTACAGCTTCTTAATTAAACACTGGTATCGGATCGGTATCGGGACTGAAAATGTCGGATTGGTGCATCCCTAGTTTGTAGCAGCGTGCAAATCAGGAGGAAAGGAAGGAAAAAACACAAATATCTTCAGTACAAACAGGAAAGAAAGCACACAGCAAATGTAGCTAATTAATGAATTAATACACAGGGTTTAAATATTTGGCAGGCTTCAGAATAAATGTATTAATGAGTTATCAACCAAGGTCTCCTATTCCATAACATCAACTGAAATAATTTACTGCTCCCTCAATATGAATATGATGTTTCACGCCCATCTGCAGTCGTGCCGATTTCAAAAAATAACTTTCTTGGAAGGACCCATGAATCGAGTGTCAGGGGTAATCCAAACCTGCCCCAGTAACCCCAAACCCTGAACCCCGCAGTGCTGCACAGCGGCACGTCTCCCTCGTATACCACCGGTCACTGTGCAGCAGGCGTTCAGGACAGGTCTATATTCAGAGCGAGGGTGTTACATGAAGAGAAACATAAAGGTTGGGTTTTTTAACAGAAAGAGTCTCACGTCTGTTTGAGACAAGAAGCAGACGACACATCGTACGTCAAACCTCGTTCACCTGCTGCGAGTGTGCAACTCCTGCATGCTGTCAGAAACAACGCAGTCTGGTTACAAGAGTTTAGGGTCAAATAGCGCAGCCTGGTATGGTGCTGAAGTGCACAGCCGTGCTCAAAATACATTTTTAGCTATAATTGCTTTCTGGGATTTTAGCCCTTTTCTAATTTTAGATTAATGCAGTGGCAATGAAAAAAAAAAAAAAGACACTTTTGCTCCTGAACGAAACAGTATAGTTTTGTGAAATAACAGTATAACATTCATGGACTTTGTTTATGTAGATTGATGAAATAAAACACAAAGATACGGTGAGAAGAAAGGGAGGATGATTAGAATACACATCAGTCATGAAGAGAGGAAGTGAGAGTAGGTGGAAAGTATGTTGCTTCAAAAGATTTTTTAAAGTGAAGGAAAAGGAAAGTCAAAATGCAGAGTGCATGTTGGGACAAAGAGAGGCACAGATGGTCACTGGTGAAGAGCGAGAGAAGGAAGACATAACTCATCTGTAACGTACCCGTGCTCTCTGAGACAAAACCTTATACAGTTGAGGTTCTGCCACCGCTTCCGTTTCATTCTATGCAGAAAGGTAAAGAAAATGGACGGCTTTTCATCAAAAAAACAGGGAAGAAATATCTGACATTTACATGGCAAAAGTTTAAAATAACATAAATTGCTTGGTTGCTTTAAACAACAGCACTACACATCCTGGCAGTTGGCTGGAGCACAGTGGCTCAGATAAGACTGAAGCGAGTCCTTGAACAGCTCACTTACTGCTGAGCAGTGAGAGACGTGTTTATACGCAACATAATCACACAAGTTTAAAACCGCTGTCTGGAACTTCCTGTTCTTTGGCGAGAGTGCAGTTAAGAGGTGTGGGACCAGCTTTCCACTTCAATAAATAGATACACACATGCTGGTACATGTATGTGTGTGTGTGTGTGTGTGTGTGTGTGTGTGTGTGTGTGTGTGTGCGTGTGTGTGTGCAGGCATGAACAGATCATCTCTCCTTATAAGGCAAATAGCTCTTCTCACAGACAACTGCAGAACTAAACAATCCCACAGCATTTTATTTTTTCACTTTGCTGTGCATTTGGCGAGGCGACCGCTCACCTTGAACTTAAAGTTGCTCTTAGGAAGAGAGTTTGAGAGCTGCCGGGCGTAGACCGCCTTCTTCAGGTAGTGACAGATTTCTTTGGCGGAGTCGGCCAGGATGGGGCAGATGAAGTGATTGTCGTCGTCGTCGTCGTCACTGGCGTTGGATTCGCTGAGGGAAGAGGCCCGCTGGTTGGGGGCACTTCCATGGACAGGGGGTCTCTTGGTGCTCCCCACCTCCTCCATGCTGAACATCAGCTCGTCCTCCATGATGTCTGCTGTTATGTTGACAAGACAGGAGAGTGAATGGACTGAGAGAGCAGTGAAGAGCACTGAGTGGAAAGTAGAGCCACATAAAGAGAGTATGGAGTTAATCTGTGGCAGGCAGCCATGTAAGTACGTGTTAACAACAACAACCCTGCATAATGGCTGCACAGCTGTTACTTTGGATGCCCCTGCACCATGACACCTCCATCATATGCATACAACGTGGAATCAAAATACATACTCATATAACGTGGATTTAAGCCATAAATAGTGAGCATCAGCATGCAAAAGCAATTAGCATCTACGGCATTAAGCACCAATATGTTCCACTGGAATCGAGGGCAACTGTGTTTGCATGTTTTCAAACAGTTGGCTGGTGGAGAAGAATGCAGATCCGAGCAAAGATAAACAACCTGCACTCCTATAGACCGCGGCCACGTGATGACAGCACATTTGACAGCAGATCCCATAGAAATCATGGAGCAGCTATTAAGTTACAGCATGCTGCAAGACGAATTTCTCCAAATGCATTAACGTTAGTTTGGTCTATTGTGGCCTACTGTTAGTTGCACGTATTACCAAAACCTACCGTATAACCGTGAGGCACAAACCCGCCTTTAATCACTGTATCTTTGACAGAATGTGCGACACAATGTAGCCAGTTCCTCTTCCGTCTCACAGTTTTCAGTTTTCAGTTAAACAGATAAGGAACGCAGCAGCGGCAGCTAAACTCTCCTCCCAGACCAGCCTGGCTCGGTCCTGGTTCTCCAATGTGTCCTGAAGGTCCGGGGAGGTTTCTGGCAGCGGGTTGTAGTTGTTGTTCCCGTCCTCCACGAAGACGTGAGCCTTCAACACGTAGAACTGCTCTCTGTGAAGCCACGCCCCGGCATCCTGCTGCGTTCAGGACTATCGGAAATCTAAAAAACAAACGTGAGCAGATTATAGAGGAGCGTCCATCGAGAATGTAAAATGACTTCCAAGGATATATCTACAATTTATGGGGCAAATACATACACAAATAATAATACGACATTACGTATGCACCATATAAACTGTAACTTCTTGTTATTTAAAAGGCAGAAACGCGCGAATCGTTTGTAACGACTACGGAAGAGCATATGAATGCAGCACCAAGTAAATAAACGTTACGGCCAACATAGTCGGTAACGTTAGCTAGATTAATGTAACATTACACAAATTATAAATTGTTAATATGTCTGTTTTGAACGTGTAGATAGTAGCTAGCCAATAATAGCCACAGTTAGTCCCAAAAGCGATGACATTCCGAAGATATTAAACAGGTTCAATTTCCAACCACATGAATAAAATCTATGGGTCGCACAGCTGTAGTCATGAGGTAGCGTGGCCGAGTGGTCTAAGGCGCTGGATTTAGGCTCCAGTCATTTCGATGGCGTGGGTTCGAATCCCACCGCTGCCATGTTTTTTCGTTGCTTTATATCCGGACGATAGCCAATATCAACAACCAGGAATAGGCGGTGTTATAAGATATAGGAAACAGGCTTTTTCCTGTTTCAAATTCAACCTAATGTCAATACATATCAGTGCCATCTTTTGTTTGTGTGGTTACTGCATTGTAAAGCCACGTCTCTCTCACAACACCAAGAATTAAGGTTAACACAACTGTCAACAAATGCAAATATCTAAAGTCCAGAATGAGAAAAAGAAAAAAACAATGATTCTTTAAAACATTAGTTAATCCTAAAGATAGTAATATGCTCAAATTCAAAAAACATTTCAATTTGACAGAATAGAGAAGGGATGCCCCATTCCTTGATCTTCTAATTACTCTACTGTTTCTCTATGATAAAAGACATAATATTTACCACACAAAATACATTAAAAAAGGAAACAAACTTTGACAAGAGACTGTGGTTCGCAAATTTATTTCTAAACAATGAAATGAATACTAATATAAAGATATCCAAAGTGACTCCAGTTGTACAGTATTTGTGCTGTGTTTGACATCTCTTCCTATATTAACCGGAGTAAATTTACGATGATCAGTCCTGGATATTAGACTACACATTTTATGAAGTACCAGGTTTCACTGCGTCCTGACTTTTTCCTTCAAGAACTGAGAAGCCACAAATTGCATTTTCTGGATGGCCAGCTGAGTATCCTCAGGGGAAATCCCAAGATGCCATACAGCCCGTACTGAATTTCCAAAATAGGGGTACATGAGAACTTGTATTCCTTGTCCCAGTGCTGCCTCCTCTCCCTCACCAACCTGACCCATGCGGGCACAGAACTCAGAGGGGCTTAAACTGGGCTCCTGTAGACGGAAACGCAGGATGTTTGTCTCCACAGCAGCCATGTCTACAGCGAATAGAGGAGGGTCACAATCGAGCAGAGCTGGGAGAGGTGAAGAAAAGAGTAGTTATTAGTAGGGAGTTTATTATTTAATTTTCAGAATTATGAGCTGCTCACCTTCAGCAAAGGTTTTTGCATTACGATGATCCTCCTCCAGTCTTTCAACCATCTCCAGTAAAGACAGTTTTCCAGCTGCTGCCAGTATGCCAGCCTGTCGCATCCCCCCACCCAGGGCTTTACGACACCGCACTGCCTGGGATATGAAGTCTCTGGGTCCAGCCAGGATGGTCCCCACGGGGGCACCCAAACCCTGTTACACACCAAGAAGTTTTTTTTTGTTTGTCTACAAGCTCTTTGTCGGTTCACATCAATTTGTATGTTCTGGTCCATTCTGTGTGTGTGTTTGTGTTTTGCAGTCCCACCTTGGAGAGGCACACACTAACAGTGTGTGTGTGCTGCAGTATGGTGGATGGTGGCACCCTCTGGGCCACAGCAGCATTCATCACCCTGGCTCCATCCATGTGAACTGACAGCCCATATCTATCTGCCAAAGCACGAACCTTGGAGATGTAAACAAACCTGTGAGAGCTGCTGCATTCTTTATTCTGTTGTTGTAAGGCAAGTACATATAAGTAAAACAGATATCCACACACACACACACACACACACACCTCCTGCAGGAAGGTCAGAGGCAGCACACGCCCTCCCTGTACGTTGTGTGTGTTTTCCACACATATGAGGCGTGAGCGGGGGTAGTGGGGGTCGGGGTAATCGTGGCGGATCTTTGATTCCAGCTGCTCCAAGTCGAATGTTCCATCAGGAAGAGTGGTCACTGTGGTGGAGTGGACCCCTGCTAGCTGTGTCAACACACATAAACACAGTGAATGAATCCAATGTAGACGATGAGGAAAGAGATGCAGAGGTGCAGAGGGCCTGACCACAGGTGTCTGCTGCTGTGGGAAACTCACCTGTGCGCTCCCTCCTTGCTCATAGATGTGTAAATGGGAACGATCGTCCACAATCATCTCGTCGCCTCGCTCCCTGCAGTGCACCATCACTGCATAATGAAATGTGTGCACATTAATCACCTTTCTGACCTCAAATTGGTAGATTCAGACTCAGCTCACCTGCGATGAGATTACTCATGGTTCCAGAGGGAACGAAGAGTGCAGCTTCCATCTGAAACATATCTGCTGCAATTTGCTGTAACTCTGCAGAAAATAGTAAAAATAATGCAAGATTTAGGTTGTAAAAATTGAAAGGGATCCATCCATGCATTCAGATTGTGCCACCACATACAGTAGAATAGGCTATTATATATAGGCCTTTATATACAAAAACATATTATTATATCCTGACTCTGAATAATCATCCATCAAGCAGAGTAATTCAGTAATTACTTGTCAACCATTCATACATAAGTTGTTCCAGATTTGGTCATTACTACTAAACGCTTCGGCTCTAACCGTTAACACTCGGGTCTTCCCTCAACACGTCATCTCCGACCTCGGCCTCCGCCATGGCCTGCCTCATCGCCGGCCCGGGCTTGGTCACCGTGTCGCTGCGGAGGTCCACCACACGGCCGTGGGCCGCCCTGCCCGGTCCTGGGTCCCTGGGTTTCCCGGTGTTGTAATAGCCCCGGGCGGAGCTCCGTACCAGCGCGGCAGCAGCTGCACTGAGCGGTTTTCTCGAGGTGACGACACCATGGTTCAAAACTTCAAACAATACTCTGCTGGAAAATGTTTTCAAATACATGATGCTCCTCTTACGAACATGGTCATGAGGTGTTTTGTATGGAACTTTGGACCTTGTAATCGATAATCATTGACTGCAAGGACAGTTAATGGATGACCTATCAGCCCATCGGCATGCACCGAGCAATGTAGACCTCTAGGTATCGCTGTTAGCCTAAGAAAGCTAATTATACTGCATTTGAACTCTGACACACGTTAAACTGCTCTGTTGCAATGAAATCTCCTTTTCTTTTTTGTAACTGTAATTTCAAAACTATCTTCTTTGTTTATATAACTCAGAGAATTATAATTCGCTCATTTATATATTCAGATTTCTTTCACAGATTGCAAACAAAATAACAGAGCGACTACAGTCTAATGCAATCCATTACAACTGACCTGCAGTCTTAATCAAATAGAATGTGCTGTTCATATTGTTTGCAAGAAGAGTTGGTGAGTTATGATGCTGCGGTTTCTGGTAGTATTGTACTGAGCTGAATTACATTCAGAAAGTACAAGAATTAAATTAACTTCTCATGGACACATATCAGCAAAAAAATTAATTTATTAAGGCATTAAGTACATATAAGTAAAACAGATCTACACACACACGCACACACACACACACACACACCTCCTGCAGGAAGGTTAGAGGCAGCACACGCCCTCCCTGTACGTTGTGTGTGTTTTCCACACATATAAGGGCGTGAACGGGGGTATGGCTGTAGCCTTGAGAAAAAAACATTAATAAGAAACGGCCAAAGTAACCAAAACTAAATATCTCCCGGACGCCGATTTAAAGTATCAATATGTGGATGTGGTGATTTATGTCATCTTACTGACACTTGTCAAGAATAACACATCACATGTGAGAGTTGCTGGATGGCACACATGCTGTATAAGGTAAAATAAAGATTAACTATCGTTGCACTCAGACATCTGTCTCCATCTAATTTATGTTGTAAACGTGTTGTATAGGTTCTAGAATTACTCAAGAAGACACAACAGGTTGGACTAGTGACTATAGTCTGACAGGATAAGAGGAAGCGTAAGGCTGTCAGACTAGTCCGATCTAGCTAATTCTGTCAAGATAAATGACAGGATTGGGTAACGTCATCGGGTCATCTTCAAGCACGGCCTTCACCATGGCTTGCCTCATTGCCGGCCCGGGCTGGGCCATCACGTCGCTGCAGGGGTCCACCACCCGCACTCCTTGGTTCCTGGGTTTCCTGATGTTGTGATTGCCCCGCACAGAGCTCCATCCCACCACGGCAGCTGCTGCATCTCCTGCCCTGAGCGGTTTGCTCGAGGCCACGACACCACGGTTCAAGACTTTACACAAAACTCTGCTGGAAAATATTTTCAAAGACATGATGCTCCTCTTACAAGAGAGGCCTCGAGCAAACCGCTCAGGGCAGCAGATGCAGCAGCTGCCATGGTGGGATGGAGCTCTGTGCGGGGCAATCACAACATCAGGAAACACACTTACCAAGGACCGGGCAGAGCGGCCGTCATCCAGGTGGTGGACCTCCGCAGCGACGTGATGGCCCAGCCCGGGCCGGCAATGAGGCAAGCCATGGTGAAGGCCGTGCTTGAAGATGACCTGACGAGAGGAGAGGACACGGTTGACGGTTAGAGCCAAAGCAACTAACATATTTATGAATTACAGGAACCAACATTACTTTTTAAGGCACCTGAAATTAGTGGGGGTGCACTACAGTGCTCGACGTTCTGAGGCTACCTCGCCAACCTTACCCAATCCTGTCATTTGTCTTGACAGGATGAGCTAGATCGTACTAGT